GGAATAGAGAGATGGTGGAGGGGGAGGGAGAGGTAGAGGGAGAGCAGGGAAAGGGGAGAGAGATGGGGAGAGGGGAGAGACACAGGGAAAGGGGGGAGAGATGGGTTGGAGGAAGAGAGATGGGGACACAGGGAAAGGGGGGGAGATGGGTTGGAGGGAGAGACACAGGGAAAGGGGGAGGGAGAGAGATGGGGAGGAGGGAGAGACACAGGGAAAGGGGGTGAAAAAGGCAGAGGGGGAAGAGAGACACAAAGAGGGAGAAATGAGAGAGACACACAAGGGGAGGGGAAGAAAGAGGCAGAGGGGGAAGAGAGAGACTGGGAAGGAGAGGGGAGACATTGACACAGAGGAGCAGAGGGCGAGAAAGAGAGGACCCGGGGCAATGCTCCGGCTCTCACGAGGTGAACTCTAGCCCTGGAGCTACGGGCTAGAGTTCACTCTCACCACTTCCTGGTGGTCGCAGTAGTAGGATTGAACTCTAGCCCCATACACACACTGATCACACACACACCATACACATTCACACACTGCCCCCCCACACACACACATTCACACACTGCCCCCCACACACTGAACCTTTCACACACATTGCACCCCTCACACATTGCACCACTGCTCCTATACCCTACTACAGCCCCATATCCCAGCAGACTCCAGGTAAGTTGTCAAACTGTTCTTAAACGGTTTGACTACTTACTCTGGGAGGGGGTGCCGACACTCCTGGCACCATAACCACTACACAGAGGAGTAGTGGTTATTGTGCATGGAATATTTCTTTAAATAATCTACAAGTGCCCCTCCCGGGCTCAAGCTCTGGATCCGTCACTGGTATATGACATGTATATTAATGTGTATATTAGTTATATATATATATTTACACATATTAATGTACATTTATATATGCATAATACACAGCGAAATTTCATTAATATGTACCATATGTAATGAGCAGATATTGGCCCAGTCTTGTTGCTAGGTGCATACTCCAGCACAATAACATATTTAAAGTGAAGAGCACACCCACAGGACTTCAAAATAAACAATTTTTACAGTTGTGCCCTACATACATTCACCATTTCAGTCCCATTAACAAGCTTTCCTTAATATGTCAAGGTGGTTGGACTGAAACATTGATTACATGCAAAGGCACGTCTGCTTAAAATAAATCTGCACTTTTGTTTATTTTGAAGCCTATGAGTGCGCTTTTTACGTTGAAGTACTTTTTAATTTTAAGTTATCTGTTCTAACTCTGTATCTGCACACTATGCTGGCGCGACACATTATGGGGCTGGTAAATATTTTTTTTCCAGGGCTGCTTTTAATTCCCAGTTCCGGCCATGAGCACTGCCCAGTGCTAAATACATTTAAAGAAATTGTGTGTGTTTTTTACATTTTAAGTTGGGGGGGGGGAGGGTGCCAAATAAAGGATCCACCCTGGGTGCCAAATGCTCCAGGTAAGCCCCTGCCCGCGCCGAATCCTATCAGCCACCCTCCTGCAAAGAAAAGGTAAGAAACAGGAGGGTGGCTGGAAAATGAGCTCTGTGTGTCTGTATGTAGGTATGTCTGTATATCAGTATGTATGTATATGTCTGTATGTATGTCATTATGCATGTATGTCTGTATGTCATTATGTATGTATATGTCTTTATGTCTGTATATATGCATATATGCCAGTATGAATGTATGTCAGTATGAATGTATGTCTGTAGGCAATTATGAATGTATGTCTGTCTATGTATGTATGTCTGTGTGTATGTCTGTATATATGCATGTATGCCAGTATGAATGTCTGTGTGTATGTGTGTATGGATGTCAGTATGCATGTATGTCAGTATATATGTATGTATGTCTGTGTGGATGTCTGTATATATGCATGTATGCCAGTATGAATGTATGTCAGTATGAATGTATATATGTCTGTATGTCATTATGAATGTATGTCTGTCTATGTATGTATGTGTGTATGGATGTCATTGTCTGTATGCATGTATGTCTGTCTGTATGAATGTATGTATGTTTGTCAGTATATCTGTATGTATGTATATATGTATGTATGTATGCCAGTATGAATGTATGTATGCCTGTATGTCATTATGAATGTATGTCTGTGTGTGTGTATGCATGTATGTATGTATGTATGTCGGTGTCTGTATTTATGTCAGTGTGTATGTATGTCGGTGTATCTGTGTGTGTGTATCTGTGTCCTTTTGTATCAGTGTGTGTGTTTGTGTGTATATTCCTGTGGGCGGGATTTGGAGGCGGGCCCTGTGGGCGGGATTGGAGGTGGGCCCCAGACCGTGAGCTGAGTTAGGGGCCCCAAAATTTCTGGTGGCGGCCCTAGGTATATCTGCAGAACCGGTGCAAAGATATTTGGCTACACATTTGAAAATGCAATCTTCACCTGTGTATTTGAGTCTTCCACTTGAATTGCTTAACCCTTTTTGTGTTTCATATCCCCTCTTTTAAATGCCTTGTCCTTCCTAGTGTATATTATCCCAATTTTGTATCTTACACTCCCCCATATTTTCCTCTGAGTGTTTTACACCCCGCTTATTCAACTAGCTTTCTGTGTCTATTAAATTCCCTCCATCCCCCTTTGTGTGCCTCTTTCTCCCCCAGTCCTCTGTGTGTCTCCCCAGCCCCTCTGTGTGTTTCTTTTCCTCTTGCTCCTTTGTGTGTCTCTTTTCCCTTTCCTCAGCCCCTTTGTGTCTTTCTCAAACTCATCCCCTTTGTGTATCATTCTCCCCTGCCCGTCTGTGTATCTCTTTTCTACTTGCCCACCCCCAGCCTTTCAGTGTGTCTCTCTCCCCCAATCCCTTTCGTGCATCTCTGTCTCCCATTCTCTAGAACCTCATGTAACCCATTCTCCACCAAACCCTTCTGTGTGCCTCTTTCTCCCTAGTCCCTCTGTGTGTCTCATTCTCCCTCCGCAAGCCCTTCCGTGTGTCTCGTTCTTTTCCTCCCCAGCACTTTTTATGTGTCTCTTTCCCACCGTTGACTCTGTTAGGCTCTTCCCTCCCACACCTTGTCTCTTTCTCCCCCGTGTTTATCTTTTCTCTCTTCCCCAGTCTTTATCTCCCCCCTCCTTTTGTGTATCTCTTCTCCAATTGTACTTCTGCAGTTTCAACTTACCTCCTTGTAGCATGGCCGAGCGGACGGCGGTAGAGCAGTTTCTGTACAGTCTTGCAGGAAGTTGTTCGGTGCTCTCAGAGATCAGCTTCCTCTCAAACTGAGTAGAGGATAGAGAAGATCTTCTACCGTGGTCCTCTAAGGCGACTGCTTGTGCCACCTGTGATGGATGGCCTGATCCCCCTGATTTGTTTTGAGCAAGCCACTTTTTGGTGCCACCTCATGGTGTTTTGTCAGGGTAATAAAAATTATGCTATGAGATACTGTTTGCAATGAACATAGTTATCTCTGTATTGTGTGTGTACCTGTATTATACACAGAGCAGTGTGTATGTCTGTGTTTACATCTCTGGGTCAAGAGATGCAAGCATAAAGTATAGTCAGGAGCTATGTTACATTTCTAGAGGGAAGTATATTTTGTAGGTTATTTTGTTGAATTCTGTACTGTAAGTGACCATCTGCTGTTGGAGCCAGCAAGTGTACACTTGTAATTGCAGATCTACAAATCAAGATAACATTTGTTGTCAGGGTTGACTTGCACAGTGTGGGGAGAACTAGTGTAATGAATGACTTTGGAACCAGTGCTTTCCTATGTGTTCTGTTTGCCCAGCCCAGTTCTGTATTTCCATTGGTGTAAATGTTTGTGCAATGTTTTTTTTTTTTTTTACTATATGCTGTGATCTATGTAAGATGTATGTTTTTACAGTAAACTTTTTAAAATTCTTTTGAATTGCCAAGAAGAAGCTTGTTTGTCTCTTCCTTCAGGTCTCACGGGTATATTGCTATTCATTGTCCTCTATAGAGTAATTACTATTAAGAGTATTGCCAGATGACTAGATCTATAAATATCCTATAGTAACCAGATACCAGTGCAGTATATCCTGCATTGTCAGTGGATATGCTACCAAAGCCAAGCCCTAGCATCTAGTGGTGCAGGTTATGTAAAAGAAACCCAGATACAATAGCGTGCCTGAACTGGTACACCTTCAGTGCCAGAGACACCAGGGCCATTTCATCACACTGCCTTATGGTTGCATTGGCTCTGCAATCTGATAAAATTGTCAGTGCTGGGAGCAAGTGAGTTCAAAAACTCACAGGGTCTATATTGGCTAAGGAATCAATAGATCTACTCTTCATGGTCCTTTGGTAAAATGTTATTATTTAGAGAGTTTATTTGAGTGCTTACAAATGAGATATGAACTTCACCACTCTGATGCAACATTTTGCAAACATTTTTTTTCCAAAGAATTTTGGCAACCATTTTTTTCATGTTATTTGTTTCTTTATCTGTTGAGCAATGGAGCTCAAGCCTGAGCATTGAATGTTTATTTATTTTCTTTATCGTACATTTCTGTTTGTCAGCATCTGATGAGTATTATAAAAAGCATCTAATACTGAATACCACAGTACCCACTCTCAATAAATTGCTTTACAGCAGTTTTGTACGTCTGGTGACAGCACTATAGCCGAATCCCCACCAGTATTTTAGTTGATACAAGATTCCAGTATACAAATTTGTATTATTATTGTTATTATTTTCATCTATTTGTATGTAATATTTTGGTTCATGATATTTATTGTAATTCAAAGTGATAAACTAATAGCAGCAATGCTGAATTTGCGTTTACCTCTAAAATATTTCTTTAAATTCAATTCTCTTTTGCTTCTTGTCTCCTGTCTCCACCTCATAACCCATAAATCAGCTCTTTCCCTCTAGCCTATTTTGACCCTTTTTGTTACCTTCTAAGTCATGGAAATTACAACTCACTGTATATTTTCTGTATCACATAAACGTTAGATGTCAATAAGACAAATATGTTCCAAAATGTGAATTGTGACCGTGCATTCCATAAATCTCACTACACAAATAAATAAATGATTTAACCAATTTGACGATGTTTTATTATTTTTGTATAATATATAGGTACATAAAAGCCTGCAGATTTACATTGCTTTGTGTTTTTTATTTTACACATATACAGTTTGAATACATGGTACATTTATCAAACATATGATTTATTTATGCAAAAGAGAAACCTTAGTTACTCTATTTTTGGCACAATAGTTATTTTAATCTGCAGTATTTATCGCCCAGACTGCCAAATGTGCAAAATATTGCAAGGCTCACAATTAAAGGGTTACAGGTTTGGCACCAAACTGAATTAAAATCTAAATGAAATCAAAACACTGAGTATTTTTTAATAATCGAGGTGTTGAGATTTTAATCAAGTTCCAATTTTGCTTTATATTGTTTTGATTAACTAGGAGAGTCAGTTTTATGCATATTATAAAAAAAATATATAAATATCAGCCTGAGATGAAATATGCATGATAAAAAATATATGGTGGAAAACCTCAGATTATATTTTCAGAGTGACCTGTCAGTTTAGAAATGTTAAATAATTGAACTAAAAATACACATGGAATCGAGTTCCAGAACATTGCATAATTCAGTTTGGTTCTAAGTGCGACAGCGCCACAAATAAGCGCCTAAAAAGGTCAGTTTAATGATAAATCAAATTACAGCCACTCAACACCTAATGATCTTCCATTAAAAAGGCACTCTACGCATCAGGACCACTTCAGTTTATCAAAGCAGTTATGGTGCCTATTATGTCAAATTGACACGTCTTTAAGTCAAAGTAGCAGGCTGCGGCATGGGAAGGTCAAAGTTTGCATGGAGCCCCAATTATCAAAGACAGGAGCAGACTTTGGACTTGCATGTTTTTGCTTTTGGGATGCAGTGCATGCTATTCCCCTCCACATCTAAGCTGACATGCTAGCTCTGTTGAATGGGGAGTTGGTATGTGAGCTGAGATATGTAGTTCCTGGCTCGTGTTATGAGCTCCACCTTCAAGCCAATTTTGTCAGTCTGAGAAATTTATCAAATGAAAACTTGCAAGGACGGTGCATTTTCACCATAACCACTTTAATAAGCCTAAATGAAGTGGTTATGGTGCATAAAGTGCCCTTTTAAGGACTGAATATCAAAAATAATTTGAAAAAAACGGGTTAAATAATTCAGTGGTATTAGTAAAATTGTAATTTCCCACATATGTATTTGCATACATATATATTGCTACTTTATATCATATCAGATTGACCAAGAACACTGGGTTGACAGTCTGTTTGCAGATATTGTTTATTTATACTCAAAAAATTATCTTTTTTTTCTTTTAAAGGTATTGCCAGATGACTGATGACATGTATCAAAATAGTGTGACTCTCATTTTAAAATGATTGAAATCATTAAAATTATGCTAAATATAAATAAAGAAAAAATAAGATATACTGTCTATGGCATTAGAACTTCATGGCAATACGAAGACTAAACATAGTTATAGAGGAAGTATAAGAAGGTTAGGTGGGCACTCCCTGGAAACTGACACCAGCTTTTTTTTTAACATGCAGTACCTCGTATGGCCACAGGGAGTAGCTGGCATATAACCTGCTTGCCTCAGGGGATGAATTCTATTATCAGAGCTCCAGGCATAACCTGATTGGTTGTACACCTCTTGTAGGAGAATTATTCCAATTCTGTTACTCAGGCCTAAAGTTAGCAAAAGTAATCTTACATTCACCACAACTACCGGTTTAGTGATTAAACACCTAAAATAACCACTGTTTGTTTGCACATATATTAAACATAGTTCTCCATGTAACCCTCAAGCAGCGCCAGAACTAGATTACATTTTGAGGAAAGCATTTCGACATTTTCATTTGCCCCATCTGCACTTCTAAAATAATTGTGCACTAGGTAACTATTTGGGGGTTTATAGACTAAACAGTAAGTTGCTGGTCACTCATAACAAATATGTTTTTTTTTTTTTTTTAATCGGCTGTAGATTTCACTTTTTGTGCTGGCAAACTATTCTTTTATATGTTTGTACAAAATATTGTACTGAGGATGTAAATAATAGATGTTTAAAAATAGGTTAATAAAGCAGGTAGGCAGTTTTACAAGTTGATTCTTGACTCAAGAAAATGTCGGAATAATTTAAATATCAGGTTCTCATGTATGCCTTTTGGGAAATCACTTCTTTACTGAGTGTGTGTGTGTACCTATGTCTACATTAGTATTGACATCCAGAAATTAATACTGGAAACCAGTATAGGCGCTTCTGAGTATAAGGTAGTGGGTGAATGTGCAAACAAGGTGTTATCCCTTTCAGCTCAAAACATAGTGATTTTGCTTTTATTTTCTTTTATTAATCTATTTCATATGCACAACACCCTGTGTTAAAAAAATGAAGATTAAAAAGTACAAATATATTTATATATATATATATATATATATATATATATACTTAACAGTATCCAATGGTTAGGACTATAATAAAATTCTAGAAGAGATAAATAAAAAAGTACATAGAGTAACCTGATAAAATGCAATATGAAGTGAGTAAATCATGGTCAAACTGGAGCCGTGCCAGGCTCTATGTTATCAGCTTCAAGGTGCCAGTACTGGCTTCGGTAGGTGTCCACAGGTAAGGCATGCAGGTAAGATATAGTATCCAAAGCAATTTATTAGAAAAAAATATATAAAATAAGGACACAAACAATAGCAGGGTGTAATAACAAGTCCTTATAAAATACAGCATAAAATATACAAACGCGTCTTGACATAGAAGTCTTTGCTGTATATTATATAGTATCTATACAGCAAACATGTTTCGACACAGAAGTCTTCCTTAGGATAGCTGTATATTTTATTCTGCTGTATATTTTATTCTGTATTTTATAAGGACTTCATGCGGTAGTGTATATCCTTGTTATTACAAACTGCTTTTGTTTGTGTCCTAATTTTATATATTTTTTTCTAATAAATTGCTTTGGATACTTTTTTATTTATCTCTTTTAGAATTTTATTATATTCCTAACCATTGGATACTGTGTTAAATACTGTTAAGTATATATATATATATACACTTTTTATTCTTCAATTTTTAACACAGGGTGTGTGCATATGAAATAGTGGTTTTGCTTCTATTTTCTTTTATTAATTGACATCCAGAAGCCTGGAATATTCTACTCCTTAGCATTGGAAGGGGATACATGAAATGTGCATTATTCATTAAAAAAAAACAAGCACTGAAGGACAGACATAGACCAGCTATTTCCTTCTTCACTGTCAGCCATGTTCATTTCAAGTAGTCACAACATCAAATTAAAATGAAATAATATAAGACTATATTCCTTATATGTAGCATGTTATGTGATTATGTACCATTTGAAGACAGTCTGAGGAGCAGCTGTAGATCACATTTTAGTTGTTGAACTAAGCTATACCATTTTATTTATTACTTATCTTAACATGCGGTGTAGATGCATGTATATTGTCAGCCAATCAATTCCCTTTTGATTAACCAAAAACTAGGGGGAAACCCTGGCATCCATAGCGATTAGCCGGAGGAACACTGCAACTTGTTAAAGATTTAGGTCTGGTTCCTTAATAACGGCTTAACTAACTACCCAGAGATATAGTAACTGGCACGATACAGTGATCAAGACTATTAAGATGATCCCTTGCTTACACAGTATGAGCAGTGATAAGTCATCATTACCGTTTAACGACCAAAATGGCATGCAGTGCATGACTTGAATCTCAATGCAGACGTGCTATGAGAATATGTTTTTACATTAAATGGCAAATTATTGTACATTCTCTGCACATAGGAAAGCTTGTATCTTGTATTCATATACAGAGAAAGCCTGGAAGACATACTGCTGTACTGAATGCCTTTTCATTCTATCAAACATTAAATAACATAATCTAGGAAATGCTTGGCACAATATAAACAGAGCACTTTAATGCTGCTATTTGAAAAAACATGATATACAAAACAGCTGCTTGGTTTGTTTTTTTGTTGATTTTTTTTTTAAATAACAGAATTGAGAAAAATAGGGAGAAACATGTAAAATGTAAAATGCTCTTCTGTGCTTGAGAAAAAACGAATACAAAGGATTCAGTTAACTGGTCGTTGATATTAACTCCAGGTTAAGAGCATGCTAATTCTGAATAGACATTCTGATTGGTGGCAAGATACCACAGCGTTAGAAAAAAACTTACGTCGTTTACGGTAAATTTAATTCATCTTGCTCGCATTGGAGCAACAGCTTTGAATCCAATGATTGAAGAAAAGATCTGGCTTTGGTGCGTTAGATGCCATACATCTTCATATTTCTGTGTTGTGGTGCACTTTTTTCACATTCTATGTTCTTTAGAGTCTCCTGTATGCCCAATCATCCTAATCCATTCAGAATTGGGATGTCTGGGTGAAGGATATGGTATCTGACTTATCTATAGCAAAACCTCCATTCACGTAGGATTTTTTAATTTCACCATCGTCTTCGTTCTCTAAGGGCTCAATGGCAAATGGATTTGCAATGTTTACATCAGATGACATGTCCATTTGCTCCAGTTCTTTTTTGGATAGTTTCTCCACTATTCCTGTACCAAAGGCATCTCCAAGTACATTTACCATGGTTCTGAATCGGTCCCTAAGGAAAAAGAGGAGTACATTATATTAAATGAAAATTATGGAACGTTGTTTATGAACCTTGGAATGATTTTTATTACGGTCATTAATAAATGAAAGTTGATACTGCTGGAAATAAAACATGAAACCTTGAAGTTTAATCTTTAACCACTGAGTTACGTAACTAATCACACTAGCAATTATCATAATACCAGATACATGTATGTATTGTAAGGTAACTTTTTTGTTATGTAAGACAGCTTGCTATTGAAACCTATGGGGCAGTTTACATTCATTTAGGCAGTTGAATGTTTTAATGTACCAGTGTCTGTACACCCCCTGATGGGGACAAAATATCTATTTTTTTTATGTTTTCTGGAGAATATTTTCTTGTGGGTCTGCAATAAAATTATTTGTAATGGATCTGACACTATTATGGGCAGAGGGACTGGTCATCACTTTGACAATCTCAATGGTTTGATACATATGGTAATGGAAAGGAATGGGTGAGTCTTCTCCATTACTGTGCCCACACCCTGCTACATATGGGGTGTCAAAAAGGGGGAGGAGGTTCCCTCCTTGATATTAGGGATTCCCACTATTTACCTTGAATTTGTTAGCTCAGGGCCTAATTTAGATATTCTGAAACAAGCTTGATGAATTTATAAGATGGGAAATTAATGTTCTGTCTCAAAATATTCCCAGACTGTCCTGAATAATTTGTTCACATTAGCTCCTATAACCTACATATTCACAATATATGCTCAAATATGTTCTGTCCCACGGAATTCAATGTCAATGCATTGGTTTTAATAAACTTTATTGAATAACACTGGCAGTGTAAAGTAAGTACTGAGCTTGTAATTCTGAAAAAGTGTGAAAAATTGCAAATTCAAAGTGAATTTCAAAATTGTTGCTTAAGTTACAGGATTATTCACTAAACACTAGTTTTAATGACAGTGTGGTTATTACCTTTACTGGTAAAATAAACACAGTGAATGGAAAGTTGCGGGTGACAGAATAAACAATTGCATCAATGTACAATTATCAGTTAAAGATCATTTATTTTATTGCTGAATGCAATAATTAATACAGAAAGTTCACTAACCTCTTTATCAACAGGAAGAAAATATATTGTTGTATTTTAAATTATTGACAATTGCTCTTGTTATCAACAAATATAAGTACGAGAAAAATCATTCATTTATCTGGACTGTTATCTGAACGGTGACATTTAGCAATACTTTTCCTTTAAAGATTAGTGTCCACAGATGACACTATCTTAAAGGAACACTCCAGTTGGAAAAAAGTAAAAACTATTTGTTGAACAATTTAGCAGACAAATTCCTAATGAAAACATGCATGCATTTAATTATGCATTTTAAAAAATATTTTTTATTGGGGATATATCTAACAAAAGCTGCAGATCTCTTGTCTGCAGCCTTTGCAAGCCCTCCCATCTTCCCCAATCCAGACCTTCCAACTACAAACTTCCAATGCAACCTCTATTACATGTCTTGCTCTTAGCAACTGACTTACACTGGAATTTAGCTCCACTGAGCTATACATCCAGGAAGTAACAAGACAGTTGTCTGATTGACAGCCAGGGGTGGGGTAACAAGATTAATTTATAAAAGTGCTATCTTCTGTTTAAGTCTGCAGCTTTTGTAAAATGGAAAAAAGAGGACACACACTTCACACATAAAGCATTTCATCAAGCTAAAGTGCTTTAGGTGTATGGAGTGTTCTTTAAGTGGCTGGTGTCAGTGTTAGATTTCTAATAGCTCCATCTTGTTCTGGAATTAAATATAGTATGCCCTTGATGCTATACCAGCCATGGATGGGCTAATTAACTTTAACTTTTTCTTTCATTTAAATAAAATAACTTAAGAAGCATAGAAAACAACAGATAAAATATTAAAATAGAGATTAAAATATTTGTGGAAAAGGATGCAACATTAGTACAAGACGGGACCGGACTGGCCATCGGGCAAACCGGGCAAATGCCCAGTGGGCCACGATGGCCATGGGCCGCGGCCAGCAGTGAAGATCAAGAGATCTCCCCTGCCAGCCCATGCAGCAAAGCACCGGTCCCAAGATGGAGATCTGTCCCATCATGGGCCGGAGGGGAGACGGGCAGTGAGCCGGTCACCCTCCGTGCCTTCAGAGCAGCTTCCTGCTCTCCCTTTTGCGAGCTCCGAGATGATCAGAGCGTTGTGAGAGGGAGAGAGACGTGGTCTGTACCCTGCAGAGGTACAGACCAAATTACCTGCCGGCTGACCACCAGGGATTGGTGTATGGCGTGGCCCCTCTCACTGGACCACCAGGTATCTGAATGCTCCCTCTCCCCGCTGCAAAGTTATAAGGTGGAGTAAATGTGATTTTTTTTTTTTTTTTACTTTTTCTTGGTTTAATTATTAAATTATTAATTTTAGGCCATATCTACTATATACACACACCCTCACATACACACACAAACACACTGCACCCCCTGCACTAACACACAAACACACAGCTCCCCTGCACTAACACACAAACACGCTACACACACTGCACCCCCTGCACTAACACACATACTGCTCCCCTGCACTAACACACTACACACACTGCACCCTCTGCACTAACACAAATACTGCTCCCTTGCACTAACACACTACACACACTGCACCCTCTGCACTAACACAAATACTGCTCCCCTGCACTAACACACAAACTTAATGCTCCCCAGCTCTAACACACAAACACACTACACCCCCTGCACTAACACAAAAACATAATGCTCCCCTGCTCTAACACACAAATACACTACATACACAGCACCCCCTGTACTAACACACTACACACACTGCACCCTCTGCACTAACACCAAACATACTGCTCCCTTGCACTAACACACTACACTACACACACTGCACCCCCTGCACTAACACCAAACATACTGCTCCCCTGCACTAACACACAAACATAATGCTCCACTTCTCTAACACACAAACACACTACACCCCCTGCACTAACACAAAAACATAATGCTCCCCTGCTCTAACACACAAGCACACTACATTCACAGCACCCCCTGTACTAACACACAAACATACTGCACACACTCTATACCCCTATATGCACACTACAACCCCTGCATTAACACACAACACACACTCTATACCCTATATCCACACTACATCTCCTGCACTTACACACAAACACACTACAAACACTCTATACCCCTTATAAACACGCTATAACCAGGCACTCACATACACACAGTAAACATACACTACACTCCACTCCCTGCACTCTCACAGGCCCTATATAAACACACACACACACACACACACTTTACAACACAGAAACACACACACTACAGCCCCTAGCCACATGCAATACTCCACAAACAGACCCCTTTACACACACAATACAACACAAATAGTCTGCTCTACATACATGCAACCTCCAAACATATACACAACACAACAGGGAACATCCCCACACATGCACAACACACTTTTACAGCCCTGTTCCTGTTTTGATCTCTGGTATCCCACTATTGAGGACAGAAGCGCATGTTTATGTTGCACAAACTCCACCCACCTCCTCCCCCCCCCAAAAAAAAACATGGCATTTACTTCATCCAAGAGCACTGGATCCTCTGGAGGAGCGTCACATTAGCATACTCATTTGGGGGTGTGCGTGTCAATGGTAATGACATTACACACCCCCATTCTGGCCCTGCCCCTAATAGTGGGCTGCTCTGCCTTTAATTGCCCGGGCTGAATTTTTGTCCCAGTCTGGCCCTGGTACAAGACTGTATCCTAGCATAGTATTGCTATACGTCTAACCTGTGACAAGCCTTACAGTTCAGTCTACTGATATTTTTTTACTTCCCCTCCAAGAAAATCATACCCTTAAGTCAATACAAGCAATCAAATGAATGCACTAAACTGTGTTTTAAAGAAGTCTATAGGGGAGATTTATCAAAGTATTTCGTTCTAAAAATGGTCTAAAGTACAAAAAGTGGGCAATCCCCATTGAAACCAGTGGAACCAGCAGTCACATTCCATTAGTGACTCCACCCATCTTACATTTTTTTCATACAATTTTTAGAGCAGAACATTTTAAAAAATGCCCCTCGATGTTATGTACAACAAGCATACCATATGTGAACTATCTTTGGGGCCTAACATTGAGTTAATAACTTTGCTCACTCTGCTTTTCATAGATTTGTTAGCCATTAAGCCATTGTTCTAGCACAGTGTGCCAATACAATTATATGCAGTATAAAACTGAACTGTGTCATATTATGCATGACAGAGTCTCTTTAACGATCACTAATTAAATATCATGCCAATATGTAATCCTATATATATATATATACTTACAGGAGCCAGTCAACAGCTATGATAAGTGTGACATCATCAGCTGGAAGCCCCACAGCACTGAGAACGATAACCATGGTAACCAAACCTGCCTGTGGTACTCCAGCCGCTCCAATACTGGCTGCTGTTGCTGTAACACTGCAATAAATAAAAACACAAGCAAATGAAACATGTGAGGACTCAGAAATGTGTATATGTAGGGGCGCACAGGGCCTCTTTTAGACACTGGCCAACCATGGGCAGAGACATGACTAGTTGGACCCCCATTCTGACAGTTTTATTTTACAATATACTTCTCAAAAAAACAGAGCCTGCATGTTGCATTTGCAGCCAGAGGTCTTATACAAGGTGCTTACAGCACACCAAATATCTATAAGTTATGGCAAATATGGCACATGCACTATGTAAACAAACGGTCAATTCCATAAACTGGTGGAAGGGTTAGCTAAAATTATTTAAGAATAATACAAATCATTTGTTTTGTCTTGGAACATGAAGGTAAAGCTGACTGATTCACTCTTCACGTGGAATGTGTGATAGAATTTATCTTGATTCCAAGGCTCAAGCTTATAGGTTTCATATAATGATATCCTAGATTAAAATTGGCTAACTTGGACTCAGGAAATGCTTGATGCTTAAACAACACTTAAGACCATATATGTCTAAGTTCCGGGAGCAGAGAGCCCCCACCTAAGATGTCTCTTCTCTAATCTTTTTGTTCTCTCTTACCTTGAAACTTATTTGTTATGTGTACATGACGCTCATCCCTATGTCTTATCTGTATTCTCTTCCTATTACTGTTCTAAGAGTATTTGCACGTAAGCACTTACTTTTTAATGTATAAAACCCAGCTGATGAATAAAACGTCAGAGGCTTATTTTGAATACCAACAGGTGTCTGGTGTCTAATTCTCGCTTCTCCAAGTGGACTTGTAACAACAATTTGGGCTTCCTCTGATTATAACAAAGATCAACATTTCTGATCCACAACAAATGTTTTTAGTGAACAGGTACATCGCACACGTCTTATTCAGCCAACCGTAATCCATGTTAATTTCTCCACAAATTAAGGCCAATATGTAGGAAATTTCAGAGGTAGAAAGAAAATAGAAGTTGCTGCTACACTTTCGTTATACAAATTCCCACTGCTGAGTGATATTTCTCAAAGTTTTTATGTGTTTCAGTGTTCCATACATCAGCCTGTTCAGAGGTCATTCATCCCAGCTGAAGGCCTATCTACAAGAATTCCTCTGAAACAGCACCTCGTCACAATGTCTCTGGACCGATTAATCAGAGAACAATATATAAAGGATACATGACTCATAATGGGAACAATATATTGAGGATACATGACACATAATGGGAATAATGTATTAAGGATATATGACATAATCAAATATGCCTGGCTCATATCTGACCATTTTCTTCATCAGTCATACCTCTGTGATTATTTCATTTTTTACCATGCCCTCTGAAACACTCCTATCCAGATCACGTTACATAGATTAGTAATAATATCATAATATTAGGAACTATAACATACGAGTTAGGTGGAATACCACTGTGATATCTATAAACAACACTTTTTACAATCATTACATATAACTGGTTATTGCACTGTCATCTGTGGATATTTGGACTTTTAGAATCATATGGAAATAAAATGAGCAACTCAGAAAGAAAGTTCAAGGTGATCGGTATTCTGGTGATAATAGTAGGAGGGTCTGATGTCAGATGAGTTGGGCTGAGAGGGATTGGGAGGTGCTAGAATTATGGATATGGATTAAGGAATACTGTCATCCAATCCTCATTTCATACCTTTAAGAATTATGGATTATGGATTAAGGACTACTGTCATCCAATCCTCATTTCATACCTTTAAGAATTATGGATTATAGATTAAGGACTACTGTCAACCAATCCTCATTTCATATCTTTTAGTGTTGGGAGTCATGAAATGACACATTTATACTTTTTAAGATGTCATAACACCCACTGTCCCCCAGAAAGTCTATCCAAACATAATTCCATGCTAATGAAGTTTCAAAGCACGTCATTAGAAATTCTGTCATTTGGCAGATTATCACTTATACTGATAAAAGCTCCAAGATAAATTTACTTGTAAACTCTACAACACAATCTGATAAACTGACACTAATTAACACACTTAATAAAGACAAACCTGCTGTGTGTTGATCACATTATGGTTTTCACAGCCAGCTTTTAAGAAAGAGTCGCCCATTTCCAGCTATTAACAATATAAATATATTTCTGTTGGGGGAAGGTGATTTTAAGTTTGGAAGCATGCTGAAAAAAATTAAGCTTTTTAGTTACATTGACTGGAAAGCCATACCTTATAGTGACAATTTGTCCAACATCTAGATTCATGTTGTTAAGCTGTGCGATAAAAACAGCTGCCACAGCCTCATACAGTGCTGTCCCATCCATATTGATTGTGGCTCCCACCGGTAGGACAAACCTTGTGATTCTCTTATCAACATGATTTATTTCTTCAGCACAACGGAATGTTACAGGTAATGTTGCCGAACTGGGCAATATAAATCACAGTGTTAGCAGATGCACATATTAAAGGCCACTACAATGTGTGTTTGCAATGTCTAGATACAGGCATAGGCAACCTTTGGCACTCCAGATGTTTTGGACTACACCTCCCATGATGCTTTGCCAGCATTATGGGTGTAAGAGCATTATGGGAGATGTAGTCCAAAACATCTGGAGTGCCAAAGGTTGCCTATCCCTGGTCTAGAAACTCAAAGACCTAAGGACCAAATTCAACAAATTCCAAAAATTATGCAAGGCAATAACTCAATCCTTAAACACATCTTATACATGGTTTTCATCCACCATTCATAGGAAGCTAAACTGACTCCAGTCAATCTGCCTTCTCACTTTAAAAAAGGCTAAGAAGGCTAGAGAAGTGAATAATGTGTTTCTCAATCTGAGAGGGGTTTATAGTGTTTTATATTAAAGAACGCCATAGGGTCAGTAATACAAACATGTATTTCTGACCCTACAGTGTTAAAAACACTATTTAGTCGCCGCCTCCCCACTTGCTCCCCTTAAATAACAAGAAAACTTAAGTTTGTTCCAGTGCCATGCAGGTCTGCCTCCTTTGCTGACACCATCAGAAATTATAATCTCAGCCAATCTAATGCTTTCCCAACCAAAAGCTCTAGATTGCCTCTAGATTATCTCCGCCAAGGAGGCAGGCGGGAGGCGGGGACGGAACTTAATCCTATCCTGGCCAATCAGCATCACGTCATAAAGATGCATTAAAATACTGCATCTCTATGGGGAAGGTTCAGCACCTCCATGCAGAACGTTGTGCAGCACTGACCCAGGAAACACCGTCTGAGTGACTGCCACTGGAGGTGTTCCTAGGTTGTAATGTAAACATTGCCTTCTCTGAAAAGGCATTGTTTACATGGAAATGCCTGCAGGGAGATACTATACACTATACATTAAGCTGTAGTTGTTCTGGTAACAATACCTTTAATGATATTTAACCCCTTAAGGACACATAACATGCCATGATTCCCTTTTATTCCAGAGGTTTGGTCATTAAGGGGTTAAAGAGGGTAAGGCATTATCTAGAACATTTTTTTGAGTTCCAATTCCTTAGTTAGTTTTGTGTTGAAGTAATCAATTGGCATTGCACAGAATAATATTGTCATGCCAATACATTTCATAAAATTTATAAAATAAGTAATGATCAGTTTACCTTGAGGATATCATGAGAGCTGTTAGAAGGGCTTGAGCCATGCCCATAGCAAAGCGGAAAGGGTTTTTCCTCACGATTATAAAGTAAATGAGCGGCAAGATTAAAATGGAATGGATTGCAAGCCTGAAAAAGAGAAATTGCACAGTGACCATATGAATATCCATCTGTTTTTCTTTCACAAAGTAAAATTATCCTGTCAATGTATTAAATTCAATCAGCAGACTTACCATGCATATGGAGTTAAAGCACTTAAAGCAAACACAAATTGTAGATATGGCCAAGGCCCAAGAAAAGTGGCATATTTTAAATAAATACAAAAAACACAGGTAGGGATAAGCGCAAGAAAAACAACATATACAAAATATATAGGCAGCAAACTCTGGATATGGAGGATACACTCAAACCCTAAAAAATGAACAACATAAAATACACAAAAACAGGTTGCGCCAATGGATGGATATAAAGATAAAATTAGTAAAGAAATATATATGGAATAAATAATAAATAAACGTATAAAGTCCAACATTGGACTTGATACGTTTATTTATTATTTATTCCATATATATTTGTTTCACTCATTTTATCTTTACATCCATCCACTGGCACAACCTGTTTTTGTGAATTTTTGTGTATTTTATATCTTATATACATGCTTAATTTGCTGGGATGGAGAGATAACCTATATAACAGGAGTGAAAAATAATAAGTCCTTGATTCCACATTGTCAAGTAGCACTCTTTGTAGGAAGAGACACTAGGTGCATGTTGGGATGCCTGTCTATAAGGACTGCCATTTTGATAGAGTAGTGCATCATGCTTAATGAATACAAAGTGTTAGCTGATTTCCCAGGTTTCTATTATCCATCATATTAACATAACAACATAATAATAATGTCACAATAATGGAATTTAATCACTAAATCACTAAATAATGAAATGTAATCACTAAATCACTAAATCAGCTTAGAAAAAGATCAGGTTGACATAGCAAAACTGTGAAAACAGCTTTGCTAGAGAAAGGATTCTTAACCTTTTTTTTTTAAGGGACCCAAATTGTGTACATGACAATAGCTTGATGACTCATTCTTCAAATGAACAATGAGCTCAGTGACCCTTTTATTAATTATAATTTCAATTACGGTATATTTTAAAAGTTTAAAAGTTATAAAACAATATTGCAAGGAGTAAATTACAGGTTTTAACAAAAACTATGTAAAATATGTCAATGCTGAGATTACAACTTTTATAGTAGTTACAGAATCCAAAACTGCTACACAAAAGTATATATTTACAGAAAGTAGATCTCCCAGCCTATTTAACTAAAAGCATATATTAGACAATCTTTACTTTTTGCATTGAGAGAAAATAAATAAAAGATAAATTTGCGTTGCATAAATCTTTGCAATTATAAGCAGAATATAATACACTAGTACCTACTCAACATATTGGGTGTTTTCAGCAAGAAACATACATGCATACATGAAAATGCAGGCAGATCACAATCATTAGTGCCAGTGTATATAATAATAACTCGACATTGCAATATATAACTAGTTTTATAAAGAAAAAAATAGTAGTTGCTTGCCATAAGACTAAACTAACCCATGAGTATCACAAAAGTACAGAGTGACTCTTTGGGCACAATAACACAAATATACAGCACACAATGTCCACTGTCCCTTCTATGAAAGGTGTACAGATTCAAGTCCCAAGAAAGTCCCTAATATTGGGCTTCCAAGGTTGTGGACAGTGTCCAAGGTTAAAACCCCTCTTGGTTCTTTGCTAGGTAGAAAGGAAAGGACTCGAGTATTACCGGAAACCGACTTGACAGCAGAGGAGGTACATGAGGCTGTAGTATTTATGATACTTGGAGTAGCCTCTTAATTAGTTCAGACAGTTGTGTTACGTGTTTTTCAGATTTAATTGCATTGTTGGTACTTTGAGATAAATAAGCTAGTTTTGTGTTGCAGTTCTGGAACATGGGTTGAAAAAGGTTCACCATCTCTGGTCTAACACTATTACATTAAATTAACCCTTTTCTATATTGCAGAACCCACTATTGCAGGGTTCAAATACAGACTGCACAAAAAGTAGCACTCAGTAACTTGGCATAATTTTCCTGAATTAAACTATTCCTTGTTTACTCTACGACAGCACAGTCACATTCATTTTTTATGTCATGAAATCTGAATATTCTGAGCAATTATGTTTGAGTGCATTGGCGGACAGATGGGCCGATATAAATGGAGAGCCGGTATTTGACGAAATAGCTATTAGGCATGTCCCTAATTCTTCAAATGTAATTAGTGTATTCTTTATATATACTATTTCTTCAGTTTTAACGTACACTGCAGTTTCTTTTGTTAGAACGACAAATTGCATCACATTGAGAAAATATAACTTGTCTCCCTTCATTTATAGCATAGCCTTTACACACTGAAATACAGTGTATTCGAACAGTTACCAAGTATTGTTCTCTGTAGAAACACTGTAATCGGGTTTGACATCAATATACAACTAACAGCAAAAATGGACGTACCCACTGAGCACAGTTGCCATATAAAGGCCGAGCTTGCGGAAGATTTCCCAGTCATTAACTTCAATTATCTTTCCTGCAATCAAAAATAAAATACCAAGGGGCATGTACCTAAAAGACATAAGCAGAACATAAATGAGCTACAGACGTATAAATAAAGCAGAACAATGCACTGTTCCAACCACATTACGATAAGACAGTAAATGTTTTTATATTATGCAATTTAGAGGATTAAACACTTTTTTCTGTTGACAAAAGATGGCAATTTGCACTGCAGAGCCCAATGGCATTGAAGCCTATTATTGGGACATTCTATTTTCTGTTTATTAGTAACTGGATATTTTAACTTTATTTCTTAGATTTTACTTTTGGTTTTATATTTAATAGTTACAATAAATTTATATATTTTTTTCATACCAAGTCCCATTGGCTTTTTACCTTACCTTGCTGCTAAAGAAGGGTAGGTGGCCCCCTTTAGAGGCACCCAGGTTTACCATCCAGAGCCAGGTTTCTATTGGCTCAGAAAAAGGTGAGCACAACTATAACCACTGCAATTTCGATTCATGTTGAAACTTATCACACTAGGAAGTCTCCCTTTTTTTTTTGTTTCTTTCTTTGAGGAAATGCTTTCCAGTTAAAGGGTGCAGTGTCTCCATACGACACTACTGTGGAAGTGATTTGAGCCTGTCCATTTGAGGCTCTAATTTATGTGAGTTTGATCATTGGAAAATATCCAATATCTTCACTTACAGATTTATTCTATATTGTGCTGTATTTTTTTTTTGTTTCATTTACATGTATCCAAGTATATCTGAGACTCAACCCTATCTTAGGGTAAGTGTATATATTCAGCACTCCACTCATTTGATTTAGTATAGTCTGGATATTATATCCAAGATTATACTAAACTCACTTTGGTTCAAATTTAATTTAGTGTTTACATGAGTCCAAAGTATAAGCTATTTGTAAAGAATATGTACTGCATCATAATAATAGTAAAATGGAAAATCCACAATCCATTATGTAAATTGCATCTCTTCTCATGTTGACTATATTTACTAGATAATTTTAGCTATCAATGTATTAATAAAGTCCAGACATATTCCATATCTCTTTACAGTGGGCTGACACAAGCTGGGAACAATATTGCTAAGAAAGATAAACCCTGTTTTTCTAAACACGTATTTCAATGTAACGCCATATTTTTTTTTTTATATTTGCTTGTGACATGCATAGGCCAATTAATCTTTTTGCAATTAGAGTACTATTTGGATTGAGATTAAATGTTCAAACATTATTAGTGGTCAGTCTTAAGAAAGGTATCTAGAGACTCTGGGTGTACACTGAACCCAAGAGATGGACATTAAGATTGGTGCATTCATGATGCATAGGGTTTAGGTTTGCACTTGATGCTCAGTGATAGGTGCCATTAATGGTGCTTTATGTTAGGGTTAGATCGTTCATGACACGTAGTATTAGGGTTAAAGTCACGTTTAGTACATCAATAACCCTTAGCATTGCGCTTGGTTCACTAATGTTAGCGTAGTGCTTTAATGACACTTCCCCCTATGTTTAGTGTATTAGCCATAATTATATACATTTATATTTATTTTACAGTGGCCACAAAAGATATTTTAGTAATTAGTAATTAATTTAGACATTATGTGGCTCGTGCTCAGAACCAGTATGCTCCTGATCTTTTCTTATCGGTTGTCTGCTTTATTTTTTATTTTTTTTTATTATTGAAAATTGTAGCATAAATGATGATAAGATCATTATAATAAGCTTTGCGACAAATATACTGCAATTGTACTGCATTTCATTCAATATCAGGTCAGTTTGGTTAATCTCCACTTACCACATAATGATCTGGACCATATGCATTGTTGCATCATTCAGGGCGTTAAAAAAATCCACCAGAACTTTCCCCCTTTCTCCCAACTTCCCAATGACAATTCCAAAGACGAGGCAAAACACAATAAGGCCCAGAACATTGACTCCATCACTGTAAAGGCCGACTATTTTATACTCTTTAGTTTGATTCTGTAGAGTTCAATAAATCATAAAAGTAATGTCAGAAAAATGTAATACACAATATAATAATATATATATATATATAATAACAACAACGACAATGATTAGTATACACCATGCTCATGCAGAAACTGCCAATAAAACATGTATATACGGTTTGCGTTTGGCATGAGTCCGCTGAAATCCATCCTAAAGGCTCTCCTGCCTTAGCGAGATCACATCTCAACAATATATTTATATGTTCGTTTGCACATCTCACAGATTTCCAATACTGTATATCTTTAACTCAACAGTAAAAATGAATCGGTCACTTTGTTCAGATGTTATCATCAGGAAACTAAAATGTGTTCGATATTCAATCTTTGAATTTACACATGTTGCAATCACAGTTTAGATCCCACATTCACAGCTAGCGATCAGTAAACATTACTTACTTGTTAAAATTATATTGTGTGTGGTAGAATTATTGGACTTCAAAAGGCAGATGTATTGAGGCTACTAGATCTGCTATTAATCTGGAACATAATAAACTTCACCTGGTTCTTTTCCACACCCACTGATTTACAAATATGCAGAAACATAACACTCAATCCAATATATGGACATTATATAACATTTAACTGTTTCTTAGATTGTCCTTGTAATACAAAAAATGTATACATTTAAGATGTCCTCCTCAACCCACCCCTACTGTGCAGCTTTCTGGAGAGCCGTGGCATATGCCACTGCAGATCTAGAATGTAGCTGGGCATGTGTTTTGGCAGATGAAGATGTGGATGTTATGAATAACCATTAAGACATGAGAGGTATGTGCTGGAAACCCATGATTCCCAAATCAAATACATTCTCAGCAAGTAAAGAAAGCAACACCAATAGAATATGTATGTGTTGTGTGAGTGAGATTAAAGGACCACTATAGGCACCCAGACCACTTCAGCTCAATGAAGTGGTCTGGGTGCCAGGTCCATCAGGACCACTATAGGCACCCAGACCACTTCAGCTCAATGAAGTGGTCTGGGTGCCAGGTCCATCTAGTGTTAACCCTGCAGCTGTAAACATAGCAGTTTCAGTTTACATTAAGGTTAATCCAGCCTCTAGTGGCTGTCTGACTGACAGCTGCTAGAGGCGCTTCCGCACTTCTCACTGTAAAAATCACAGTGAAAAGACATTGGACGTGTATAGGAAAGCATTGAGAAATGCTTTCCTATGGACTGTTTGATTGCGCGCGCGGCTCTTAACGCTCATGCACATTCGGCCCTGACGTCGGCATAGGGAGGAAGGTAAGTGTTTAACCCCTTTAGCCCTCTTCAGCCCAGCGGGAGTGGGACCCTGAGGGTGGGGGGAACCTAAGGACCCTATAGTGCCAGGAAGACAAGTTTATTTTCCTGGCACTATAGTGGTCCTTTAAGTCTCTGCATATACCACTGATGGAGCCAGAGCCAACCTGGTTCAGATGCACTGGTGCTCCCGGAAAGGAATTAATCTACGTCCTAAGTATTTTGAGGGCATTTACACATCTAGATTTAGAAGTGGTATTGGGCACCTAAACAAAGATGTACAAAAGTTACCTGGTTCCTGGAAAGTGTTACTATGTATATGAAGAAAACATCATACAAGGGGAAGAAAGTTTTTTTAAAAGAGGATTATTCAGTTGTATCTTCCACTACTAACAACTCATTATTAACATTGTCAGTTAATGGAAGGTTTAGGAAATCTATGAATGTAGAGATAGTTTTTTGTATGGAGATCGGTTCTAATGTAGTAATGCTTGTGAGTTGTTCCTGTGGTAGTGTGATTGGAGAGAGTCAGCTATGTTTTTTGTGTACTTTGGAATGCTTTGAGCATTACAGAAAATGCAAAAGCTCAGTAAAGCTTCAACATAGATCAGTTAGTTGAGAGGTAATGTAAAGGATGGGCGTAGGCGTAGGCGTGCGCAGCCTATTGCATAAGGGTGTGCACCCTAAAGCACAAACACACACACCGTGTATGTATATATATATATATATATATATATATACACACACACACACTGATGTGTGTGTGAGGGCGCTGTGTGTGTGTAAGGGTGCTGTGTGTGTGAGGGTGCTGTGTGTGTGTGTAAAATCTTGTTGGAATCATCACTGTTAAATCTTCTTAATTTCTTCTTGTCTTCAGCTGATTGCTATATATATATATATATATATATACATATATATATACACACACGTCTTTTGTATATGTAGTCTTAGGCTAAATGCTCGCCACAATAATATATGTCTATATTATTGAAAAGTACTAATACGCAATCTGACTTACGGTTTCTTCAGGTTTATTCTTAGTTACTGATACATAGTAAAACAACAAGTGATGTTACAGGATAATGGACATTCAACAGAAGATGGTAATTGCTGGACTTATTTACATCCATACATCTTAACATCGAGAGAGAGCAAGCCAGAGAGAGCGAGCCAAGACAGAGCGTGACCTTGTGTCCCTCTGTTACTATATAGATGTGCTCATACTATAACTCTAGCCATATAAGGACAAGACCCCCATATCCACATTCCAGAGCTCTCGGACAAAGAAAGCCTTGTGACTTAGACCAACTGTTACTTATGTCAATTCACACATCCATATATATAATCAATAGAAACAGTGTGTGTGAGGGCGCTGTGTGTGTAAGGGTGCTGTGTGTGAGAGGATGCTGTTTTTGTGTATTTGTTTGGAGGGACTGTGGTGGTGGGGGGGACTGTTTAGGAAATAGCCTCCCTCCCTGGTGGTCCAGTGGTGAGTGAACTCTAGCCTGCGGGGCCTGAGTTCACTCTCGCAAGATCTGAGCATTGCCATGGCAACGCTCCGACCTCACGAGGGGAACCTGGCAGAGCTGCTGGCTACAGCTCCCTGGGTCCTCTCCTGCCTCCCTCCCTGTGGGCCGGTGAGGGAGATCTTCGATCTTCGATCTCCCTCACCAGCCCATGGAGGCACATAGCAAGGGCCGCAGGGATTAGGGTGTGCCCAGGCACACCCAGCAGGATGGGGCTATGATGTGTTTATAACGTAAGCTAAAGATGAGAAAGGAGTAGAAGGACAATAAGTACAGAAATGTCCATGTGACCAGATAAAGTAATGGATCCTACAGAAAAATATTTAATTAGGGGGTGATGCAATGGTAATGAAGTAGTTTATCCTGTCATAAGTGTATGAGAAGCTAAAGTCATATGTGGTCAGTTTTTTGGCTCTCTATACACCTAAGAGTGAGGTTTGTAAGAACATAAAGTTTTAGATGTGATTTTCTAAATTGGAACAAATCCAAGAAAAACAACTCACAGTTTCTTCAGCTGTCAAAATTAAATCGAAAGTAGAATTCTTATCTGTTGTGCTGTTCTTATTAGGATCTGTAGGTTTCAGTTCTTCACGCTTGGTTTTGTACTGCAATGGAGAAATTTGCATGACCATTGTGTTTAAATTCATATCAATATAAAACAATAATATATTTACATGCCTGACATTTTTAGTTTTATTTCCATTTAGATTATGACTTCCTATCTCAAAATAACAATATAAAATACTATTCAAATGTAATGTATGTGATTTATAGCTTACGGAGCAGTATTTAAAGGGTCAGTGCTAACCTGCGCACTAGTAGAAATATACAACAGACAAGAGATCACCCATTGAGACTGGAAGAAAGGAGTTTTTGCATACAGCAGAGGAAAGGGTTCTTTACAGCAAGAACGATAAAAATGTGTAATTCTCTACCAAGAGTTTGTCTTAACAGAATTATATAAATATTTTTGAAACAGCCTGTATGCTTTTGATCAATTCAAGGATATAATTAATATGTATGTAAAGAGGTTGTTGATCCAAGGAGAAATATGGTTGCAATTGCCAAGAATGAATTTTTCCCTTTTGTTGCATAATGTGGCTATAATAGTGTTATTATTTATTTATTTTTTTGCCTTCTTTTGGACAAACAACTTAAAAGAATGGGCTTCAAAGTTGACCTTGATGGACTTTGGTCTTTTTTAAACATAGACTACTATGTAACTATGTAATTTGTGGAGAGTAAAACGGAAATTATAAATGTAAAAGAAACAAGATTGTTTGAAATAACTATAATAAATATTCAATATTTGCACCAGATCAGGCCTATACAGTTCATATAAATAAAAATATCTCACCTGTTGGAAGCAAGCCTGGACAATGTTTTCTGGAAACATATTTCTAGAGGCAAAAGTAGATATTTAAAAAATGTCTATGTTTCTTTAGACAATTTAATAGATAATGAAATGAAATTATTATTTATAACATTTATTTAGTTCATCGTTGATTACCAACAAACAATACTTTAACAATGATATCATTGTTAATTTACTGAAAAATATGCAATAATAAAATGATATCTTATATCTTGTAAAACAAGATATATTAATGACAGACAGCAATTACAAAAACCCATCAAATATCATCGTAAATGTACACAGATGAATGTTTAAAGAAAGACTGTACATTTTTTAAATTTCACAAGTTGGGAATCTTTAAATAAAGGACATATGTTGTTCGAAACCATGACAACAAAATATAAACTCAGAATTAATAGAGCCCAGAAATGAACTGCTAAGCTGACAGAAGGCTTAACCCTTTGGATTAGCGGAAAGTCTTCATGATATTTGGTACAATCAGGATATAAATAACACAACCATCTTGAGTTGTGTAAAGTTATATATTAATGACTTCTATTTATCAGAGGTAAGTATTAATACATGTGGAAATCTTGGCTTTAGTTTATCTATTTCCAAAGTAACAAGAACAGTTATGTTTAAAGATATGATAACTGTTGTTGCCAAAACATTTTACATGTGATTATGGAGGCATGAGGAAAAAACTAATCCCGCTTTATGTCTGTGTATATCTTGTTGATAAACCTAAACCCAGTTGACATCTTCAGGGATTGAAGTGGGTTATTTTTTGGAACAAAGGTTAAACTCATCAAAACTTATCTTTCTTACACTCAACTATAATAAACTGCAATCAAGACTTGTTAGCAACTGAAACTATGAAAAACTACCTTTGTTAAGAGGACATCCTCAAATCACTTTCTAAGGTGTTTTAGAGCAGAATGACGGATAGCTGACTCATAGCCTTTAGACCTATTACCCTGCAGCCTACTTTCATTTTGAGATGTCACTGAGCCATGATCACACTTAATGCGTAAAGAAGATCTACTTTTTCAGGGTCAGAAGACTTGGTCTTCACCCCCTACCCGGATCAGTGGGGTATTTAATCACAAGAAACTTACTTGGGCCTTGGAGTTGTTTCCGTCCAAGGTAGATATGCATTCCATAAATTTACTATATCTGGAGTAAGATATGAAGCTATGAGATACACAAATGATGGCTTATTTATTTACGTTTTTATTGTAACAATAGAACTATAACTATTGTCTAGAACTGAGTTTCCTGTTCTGATTTTCTGCTCACAATCGAAATGAAACTGCTCACAAAAGGAGACAAATTGGCTAAATATCAGATATAATACAACACTGGAAGAACATACACTAAAAGCGGTTCTGTAACTATAGCCAGCAGTTGTATAGCTGCTCAAAATACATAGAATACTGCTTCATAAATTTCCATCACAAATATTAGGTTCCATAACTATTAATAAACTGAGAAAAACTGTGTTATCTTCAAAAGTAACAATAATCAAGTTAAATGTCAACACCTGGTGATAACAAAATGTACATCAACAATTAAGATAACAATCTGAAAAAATAAATGAAAGATTAACCAACCTGCTTTGATGATAGTAAATGAATACAGTCAATTTATGGCACACTGTACCATATTTTCCCAGTAAAAGTAATTTAAGTTGGAGTATCAGGAGAACATTGCCTTTTTAGATTATGAACTTAACTGTCAGCGTTGTTTCAAGAATATATTTCAAAAATATTGCATGGGTCTAAGTTCTAAAATCTCTGCCTCTAATGCCAAGTACTGGCATTACACAAACATTGTCATTTCCATTTGGCTTTGCAATAGTCCAGGAATATTCAGGGCATTCAACAACCTTTTATTAGATATTCACATTTCCATACCATTGTGATAAGATCATCTATTCCAAGACCCTAAAACAACACCACTAAGACTCAAACAAATCTTACTCCATCTTCAATAGAATTTACTAAATGCAAAGTGGAAACGTGTGACAACTGTATCCTCTGTTTGATATAGTGTCACCAAAAAATTAAGAACGGCAAATATTAAAGGCACTAGCAGGTTTATTTACTAACCTGGGAATTGTGGGGAAATGTTAAAAGGATATAAAATTATATGAAAAAATAGCAGTAATGGGGAAAAAATACTCAACATGGCAATATTTTATCCTGATGAATTGGGCATAACCAATGCAGTCCGATGATTTCTACCGTTCCTTGTCCTCACTAAATACAAAGTTTGACCCCAAGCAGGGCTCAAAATTTACCTTTTCACTAGCCATTGGCGAGTAAAAAAAGTAGAAATTCACCCCAGGCCTGGCTAGTAGTGCAGATAGAGGACTGTCTGAGAAGATCTGTAAGAGGTTTCCGTTCTTTTCTTTTAATAAAGATACCTGATCTTGTAAAGGTACAGTGGTTTATTCTTTTGAATGAGCCGTAAATCTGTACAGTGTGAAACCAGTGCCTCCTTAAAGGGAAACTCCAGTGCCAGGAAAACAATCTGTTTTCCTGGCACTGCAGGTCCCCTCTCCCTCCCACCTCCCAATCCCCGGTAGCTGAAGGGGTGAAAACCCCTTCAGGTCACTTACCTGAGACCCCACCGATGTCCCTCGGCGGTGGTTTCTTCTCGCCGCCACTCCTCCCAGTCATTACGTCGGCTGGTGGGCGAGACTGATCCCGCTCACCGGCCGGGGAGACCTAATGTGCATGCGCATGCGCATTGGAGCTCACCATAGGAAAGCATTGAAAATGCTTTTCAATGCTTTCCTATGGGGAATTGAGCAGGAAGTGCCCTCTAGTGTCTGTCTAGTAGACAGTCACTAGAGGTGGAGTTAACCCTGCAAGGTAATTATTGCAGTTTATAAAAAACTCTGAACTTCTATGAGCTTTTTTATTTTCTAATTAGAACTGTACAATTTGAGACCTGTGTGATTGGTGTGGACTTCAGAGCATATAACACAATGTTTAGTCTATAAAAGACATATATAATCTCACAACCCTAATACCAATACTATAATAAAAATGTCCAGGGAACTAAGTACTAAGTACCCAGAGCCTTGTGATGACATCCCTGATGTGTGTTTATGTGCTTAACATCAACTGTACATGCTTTGTATGAACACCAAGAATTAGATACCAGACTTAGGCCTTGATTTAATATTTTTTGGATAAGCTTTTCAAATGATTTAATATTAACTCCCCCCCTCCAAATATTAAAACATAAAAAATATATAATATATAATAAATATATATCAGTACACCAAAAATTATGAAAATGTTTTATTTGGAAAGCTTATCCAAAAATATTAAATTGAGGCCTAATTTTTTAAAATAAAACATTGAAATGTCTCATGTTTTTAATTAAATCCTGGCTCAGTACTTTGAATGCATGTAGAGTAGACAGAGCTCTCAAAACTTACTGGTTTGTTTCTGTCAAATTAAGCTATTTCTGTTTATACTTTACTTAGTTTTTCTAAAGCTGTAGAAGTTTTAGCTTTATAATAATTAGGCTTTTTTAAATAAAATGTCAGCAGTTAAAAATGTATTGAGTTGAATGCAGCTCATTGTTAATATATAAATGTTCTGTTTTCAAAGTTTGTCTCAGATGATGAGTAGAACCCACTGTCTGACTTTATGTTATTCATATGGAAGGTACACAACAGATCTCTTGTTTAATAGATAGTACAGTTAGAGCAATTAGCATGCGATAGACATAATAGGAATATTTATATCAAACCAAGAGCCTGCACTCACCTGAACATGCATACATTATAGGGTGCTGCTGGGGCCAATTCATACAGCATACAAGACCCAGCACACTCGCTCATTCACTAAACTGCAATTTCAAGTATCACAGGATGTAATAGTTTTATGTAAAAACATCTCACCTAGGCAAACCTAATAGGGATTTAGTTACAGTATATGATCATACATTGCATAAGATACTGTAACTAAATACTTGAAATTACGGTTTAGTGAATGAGCGAGTGCGGTGGATCTTGTATGGTAGATAATAGGATTATTTAACACATTCTTCTGAGGTCCGCTGATATGAACTGCCCAATCAACTATCCTCTGAGTATTACCCTACAGTCTGACAGTGATGGATGATGATTTCTGTGCTTGTAAGTGTATAGATAGAATCACACATTGGGATTGACACATTCTGTTAAATAGCTTATATTAACAAACTATTTTATGGCACCCATTGAAGGGGTCATTACTGAACTGGACCCCTTCTGGAACTGGAATGTGCCTTATAAAATCACCCCTAAATTAAAAATACACATGCATTCATACAAAACAACATCAAAAACAAATTCCAAAATTCTATTCAAAAATAGCCACAGTGGGACTGCAGCAGAACTTTTTTCCAGATCCACAACTTCGTCCTTAAGTTTGTAGTTTGGTTTTCAATTCTCTACTAAATTCTTTAGTTTAGAAAAAAAACAAAAAAAAAACCTACTGAGGTTTATTCTGTAAACTGTTAAATGTAGTGCATTGGGATATTAATTGGAAATTATAGACAAAAATGATTGATTTGATAAATTCTCCAATTCAGCCTAGAATTTAAAAAAAGAAAAGTTTTTTTTTGATTTACAGAATTTTCCCCTTTTGAAATTTTTTTTTTTTCTTATGTAATTTCTGCTGATTTATATCCTGTGATGTCATATCATGTGATGTCACATATATATCATTAATTATGCAAATAGCATGGCCGGTATTTTTTATTTTTCAAGAAAGATGGCAACCCCAATCTTAGCACTGCATCCACAATAAGGAATCATGTATGTTCTTATGAAACTTACATGTCATTAGGTACAGTATATGGGGACAGGGAACATGGGATTGAAATTTATATAATAAAGCATACTATTCATAAGCCAAAGCCAGTAGAAGATGAATAACCACGGCTTAACACAAGCAGAAAACAACATTTATGTGTTCTCTTATACGACATTGTACGACAACGTTCTCTTATACGACAAACTTGACTTGCCCACAAAAATATCAAATCCTAAAGAGTTTACAGCCATTAACTATTGAACACTGACACTCTGCATTAAAAAATCAGCTTGTCTAAAGAAACATTCTGTGAACAGGGAGAGCTTTTGTTGAAAAATTGTGAACCCTTTAGTTCGCAAATACAGAGCACTTGTAAATCCTTTAAAAATGTTTGAGGTTCCTTTAATATTAGATGCAAGAACATTTTCATTCAGTCTGTTATGCCTCACCTTAACAGGTCGAGCATGGCATCTACTGTAGTAACTTCAGGGGTGGAACCTGTTCTGTCAATGTCGTCAGCATTTTGAGACACACCGGGCCTGATGCTTACCACCAGTACAATACCTATTTTTATTTTTTTTTAAAACAGAGAATTGGTGGAAAGAATTAACTGTTACTTCAAAGGAAAACTACTGTAAGATAATCTTTAGTTTTCAGCTTCAAAATCCATATACTTTTATTACAGGTATTATTGATGATGCAATCGCCTGCTTAAAAAAGTCCCATTACTGGGTACATTGTTTACTTATAGGATATTATAAGAAGGCCGCAGAAATACTCTCAATGTAATCCAGTAATTCTTAAATTTTTAGGACTGAAACCAGAATTGCGTACATGGCAGAAGCTTTATGATCTGTTAGGCAACTGTAAAATTAGCTTAGAAAAACACTTCTAAATGCTAAAGAAATAAACAACAGCCTAAATGGCACCTTTCTCCGGAATAGGCTTAAGCTCGTCATACATGTTATGTTTGCATCAGGGATTTTGAGGTTAGAGACAATGGTCTAAGTGAACAGGCAGGTCTTTGTTTAAATATGGCAAAACTAATATTATTGGTGGAGAGAACGTTTCAGAGCGATACAGCATGGTTATAGGCTCACTCACCACATTTTCAGGAGCTATCAGATTATAATGTAATTCTAACCATCCTATATAATGATTACATTGTGGGTGGTAAATAACTCATCCCATAAAACACTGCTGTCCTTCCTGTTGTGATTTCTTACCCCACCTCCTATAGACTGTAAGCTAGTTTGAGCAACCTATTGTTCCTGTAACATTTTGCAATTGTCTCATTTATTGTTAAATTTCCCTCCTTATAGTGTTCTAAAGTGCTGCGGAATAAGTTGGCGCTATATAAATGCCAATAATAATAATAATGAGATAAGATGAGTCCCTGATAGAAGAACAGGATGAGGATGACAATCCTGATTGATCAGAATGAGACATTCCTGATTTAAGATTAGCATGAGACAATCCTGACTGAAGATCAGAATGAGACGATCCTGTTTGGAACATGTCTAACTGTTATGGAAGAGGCCTGGCTGCAAGATATCCTCTGAATAGTGTATTCAATTTATCGTATTTTATATTTTTAGTTTAGTTTTTTGGCATTATTTTAAAACATTACCCATACCCATATAACGCATTTTTCACTTGATAATCAAGCTATTTAACAAGATGAATAAGATACAAAACATACAAACATGATACTAATAATAATTATAGTAAGCAATTCAGTTACCTAAAATAACAGCTATGACAGTTGTACAGAAGTAATACACAACAGCCCGTAGACCAATTTTTCCCGATACACTAGAGTCTAATGCTGCAACACCTAAAAAGAGAAAAAAATAAATAGGATTTTATTTAAAATCATAGTTTCATGTCATATAAAGAAATGAGAATATGGGATAAGTGAAACATAGCATAATATCAGACAGAAGAAAAAATACACAAATCAAAGGTCAAATGGTTTATAAATGTCTCCAGAACCACATCTATTACACAATATTTTTGAAATTAGGGCTAGAAGTAGGAAACTTGTAATATTCTGGAAACATTGTGTGAAGGTGTGATTTACACAATCCCACTCCTGATAATAAGATATCTGGAAAGAAGCTGGAGAGACCGAATATGCATTGCATTAATGATAGCAGCTGCATATAGTTACCCCTACTCATCTCTGGCAGGCCATGTATGAAGTACAATATTTGGAAATGCATAATGACAATGATATTTGATTTTGGGTGTTGGGAGAATGTTATTTAAAAATAAAAAAGTTAAATATTGCTATTATTAGGAAAATGGTAATTCAAGAGTCAGTATTGCTGGAAATGCCCGTTTGTCTAATATTCTATTTGCATGAATGTGGTTAGATTTTACACGATTTTACAAAAGTAACATGATTTACCCATCACTTTCTAATGTATCCCATAATGAATTTAATTATCTAACATCTAACATCTAATGTAGCAAAAAAAAAAAATTAAAACATCTGCGTGGAGTAAAACCACAATGCTATTAGCTATTTACAAGAAAGACTAGATATGAACACCAGAGTGTGTTGCTCTCTTTGGTGGAACTGAAAAGGTAAAAAAATTTAAATAAGAAAAACTAAATAAATGTATGGATTTTTATTGAGACCCCATGATCAAACTAGATTTCATATGAGCACCTGAAAATGATAGTAGGATAATATTTTATAGTATAACTATTATGGCTCACTATTGAAATTGTAAGAGTTTGTTAATTCATAAAAATAAGCTTCTACTAGTTTGATTCAGGCTAGAGACTGTTGACTAGTGAAAGAAGAAGCTGTCTCTCAACCTGAATCGGAAGACTCGTTTGACCAAAGTTCAAATATTCTAAAGTACCACAACATATGTACGTGATAGGTGGCCTGTGTTCAATTCATGGATTCTGTATTTCTAAATGAAAAGTAAATATGGTCTCATATTTTGCTAAGTCCCTGATCTATAAATTTATTATAAAAAGGGGGCGTTTAAGGGTTTTATGGAACATTCGATCCACACAATATGATTTTTAGTGAATATGATCTATGCCATATTGTAATACAGGTTAGTGACATAGTTCATTAGTTAAAGTTAAATCTTGGCAGTATCTGTCGGACTTGTATATCTTGGAAGGGTCAATATTATTTCATCCTTTCTTATCAACCTGGCAGAGGTGGACTTTTGCATTAGCCTGACAAACTTTATATAGCAAAGATAGGCTAGCCTTCTAAGCCTATCATTGCCAACCACAGGTGGATAACCAATAAGAAAGTTCACAAACCGTCAAACAATTTTAAACAATTTACACCCATTTGAATTTGACCCAAATACTTTTTGTCCCATATGCACAGCATGAGCAGAAGTGGTTATGGTACCTATAATGTCCTTGTAATAAATATCTTTGAACATATGTAGTGGAGAAAATACAGAATGTTATTATTAATCAGAGGCAAATGGTACATGGTAAAAGGGCCAGTGCTATGACAAGAAGGCACAGGCCGTGTTCAAACACCCCTCTTCCAGTGGCCACCCTTGTTGTAATGTGATCGCAGATCACAGCTTGGCAGTAATCTACTTGCAGTGCAGGGAAAGAGTATGATTCAGCTCTGTCAGATTGTGTAGAGGATAAAGGAGATCCACTACCGTGGTCAGAAAGGCCACGCTACACAAGAGGGTAAGTGTCACAAAAGGAGAAGGGGAAAGAGGAAAGAGAAAGGAGAGCAAGAGACATAATAGGGGTGATGAGGAAGCGAAGTAAAAGGGGGCAGTAGCATGTGCAGAAGGGGGTAAAATACACAAAGGCATAAGAGACACAAGATGGGAGTAGAAAACACAAAAGGGGTGGAGAGCCGGAAGAGGGTCAAAAGCATAATATAAAATACAACCAGGGTTATCTTCCAAAATGAGAATTCAAAGTGACTTTCCAATTTAAGGTCAAAATAGTCAAAATGTAAAAAAAAAACAGCTATGCTTTGAGGTCAGCTAATCTGGATGCAAGCTCAGACATTCAAAAGGGGTTTAAGATACAAATGAAAGGGCCAAACACCACAAAAGGAGGTAGGAGATGCAAAAGTGGGATTTGGAGCAACAAAAGGAGGATTCAATCGGGGCGGATTTTAGACCCATGTTAGTCCCAGTGGGCACCCAGAAAATAGAAAAAATATTATTTTCCTCTCTGTAGTAGCGCTGCCAATCGGCATTGAAATTACAGTCCTGACAGCGATCAGCATGCTTCACTGGGGCACCGGCTACTGGGAGCAATAATAGAGCAGGGATATAATATCATATTCTGCCCCAGAAGGATTTCAGAGGGACAGTTGCTCTGATGCCTCCCCCATGAATCCACCGCTGGATAAATACATAATGGATGGTAACGTGATTTGTTTTAATATCTATATCTGATTTTAAAATGTCTTCTTATACAGTCACATATATTTTTTTTAAAAGTAGTAGTACCTGTTCTGAATCTGAACTCCAATATCTGTACTTAATTGACAGTCTCAAAATCCAGCAACCTACATGCACCCACCATATATATGTGACTTACTGACACATCCTGTCACTCGGATTTAATAATAGCAGTCTTACATTTTACTAACCTAATCCAGCACTAATGAGTGTCATGATAGAAAACAAGCCCAAATTCCATCCTTCACAATTCTTATTAACAGGTCCTTTAAAAATCATGGTCTGTATTAATTATATTGTGTGGGTATTTTATAATTTACTTTATTATTTACTTACAATTTTATAGCACCATGTGACACTTGGTAAAAGCATAGTGTTCAGTTACAAAATATCATTATATTAAATTCATTCATGAGTGATAAATCTATAAAAACAGTTCTTGTTTTGGTTTCTAAATGTACATTGACATAGTAATCATGGGTCGTCCACTTTTGTTATAGTTATTTATTAAATATATAATTATGCAGCGATCTTGTACCCACTGCAGTGAGTAGATTATTGCAACATGTAATCTAGTCTGTGTACCCTTGAGGCTTACAGAGTAGGGTACATTTTTATTTATTTATGTGTTTTGCAAGGTTTACTGGTAATCTAAATGGTTGGCATACATCTATATTTTACTTGTATTTGTTATATGTTTTTACATTACATTATAGTGGGTGTACAATATACAGACTTATACAAATACTTATGTTTTGTACTACCGTTTATTTAAAGGGACACAGTAGGCAACCAGACCACTTCAGCTCATTGAAGTGGTCTGAGTGCAAAGTCCCAGGTTCCTCAACCTTGCAAAGCTAATTATTGCAGTTTCTGAGAAACTGCAATAATTACATCTCAGAGTTAACTCCTTCCGGTTGCTTAGACGACTTCTGGTCCTCTAAATGACGTTGGATGTCCTCACACTCTGCATGAGGACTTCCAGCGTCACCGGAATGCCTATAGGACACATTGATTAATGTTTTCTATGGGGAAAGCCAAAGGCAAGCACGCCCATTGCCACGCATGCACATTAAGAGCATGGGTGGAGCCTGACCCAGCGCCGAGGCACATCGGCGCTGGATTCAGGTAAGTGACTGAAGGGGTTTGAATCCCGTCAGCGCTGCATGAGAGGGGGTGCGAGGGAAGAGGAGACTGTAGGATTCTATAGTGCCAGGAAAACGGCTATGTTTTTGTTTTCCTGGTACTATAATATCCCTTTAAAGGAATAAACACATAATGCCGACTGAAATGTTACAATAATCAATGTCTTCTATTTTCAAGTTGGTGTTTGTTCATCTTCTCTCCCAGCAAACTACATATTTTATTATTTTTGTTCCTTAAGAATAGAATGTTTTGTACGTTCTAATTGTCCTGATTACCCCCTTTCAAGAGTGTTTCCCCACTTGTATTTCTTTTCTGAACTTTGTTTATTGAGGTTGTTACTCAACATTCAAAACACATGTAAACGTTAGCACATATTCAAGGAACTCTGCAATGTGCAGCAAACTTTGAGGTGTCCTATATTTTATTTTAATCTGCTGCATATCTGGTAATTGATCACGATTGGAATCATAGCTTTATTCTGATTGGCCCAAAGCAGCTTTGACTGCAGATGGCTTAGTCATTTTAGTTAATTTATTTTCCCTCCTTTTTACGTTGCTGCGTCATTTATGTACAATTAAAAGCCTTAACATACATTTTGGGATACATTTTTATTGCCCCGGTCAATTCTCAATTTTGTGAATTTACCTTTTACTAAACATTTATCCTATATTAATTTTGCAAAGAGTTGAAAGAGATAACAAAGCATCACTTGGCAATGTAATTCTGTAACATTTGAGCACAATTAATGGAAAACGCAGATGATAGTTAGATGCTCCCTCTTACCTGTGATCATGCTTGACACAATTAATGGCAAAATTATGAGTTTCAGCATTCTCATTAGAATTTCTCCAGGGAAGGCAAAATATGTCTTATCCAGGTTAGAAAGCTTGCCATATTCCCTAACCAGAAGTCCAAGGCCGATACCTGCGACAAAAAGAAAATTTGTCATTGGAGGCATGCAAAAATGTATATCTTTAAAATATAAAAATGCTCAACCATTATGTGATGTAAGAAAGCGATTTTGCTTTACATACCGACATCCAAAACTTAATTTCATATTAACTAGCATTCGGGTAAAAATATTTAAAAGATGGCGAAGAGCAGAGGTAGATGTCATGTTGTCATATCACAAGGTTTAAATTTCTATTCATATATAAACATGTGTATCTGTGGTAAATATAGTTTGAACCATTAACCTTATATGATATGACTATTATCAATCCCCAATTTCGTGGTTGTCCTAATTTTGGGACCCTGTGCCAGCAGGATTTTAGCTCATGTGGTGTTGAGGAGACCAGAGAAAGGTGTAGCGTAATTGCATGTTTTAATGTGCTCACGCTGCACTGAGAAAAAAGTCCAGAGTACTTCAGCACGTAAATAAGTTATATATTGCCCATTGCCTACAATGTTTACTAACTCAGTTCATCTAGATCCACTTCCGGCCTAATATTTCAATCAATTTAGAGACTTCATGGGCTCTGTCATGGCATGTCCACATGTTTTTACGTCTTCCCTGACTCTACTTGTCTCTAATGGCCCCCCAATATGTTTATTAATAAGATTGTCAGCCTAATTCTACTTTATCTTAATGATTGTTTGCAGCACCTGATCCATTCTAAAGACGTCTTTAATTTACTGGCAGTGACACATATCATGGGAATGAAGAGAGGGAAGCTCGCAAAACTAAAGAGAATTGTCTAATTATAAAGGTGAGCATTGTGGGAAAATTATTCTTGACAAAAGAAGTAGAGCTTCCTTAAGCACCACCCTGCTAGCAAGATTTGTCAAGAGTAGGAGACATACATAAGACAAAGTAGGCCATTTTTTAAAGAGAAATAGATCAGAGAAAAAGAACCGATTCTGAAAGAGCAAGAGGAAACACTTGGAGGAAGGTAAGTTTGGGGTGACAAAGCCACTTTTAGTTCTGAGCTAATTCAGTTTAACTGGAGTTCCAGTTTGCTTTAAGTTTATAGAAAATTTTATAAATACTGGCCAAAATGGCAACTGCAAATGTGCGCTGTAATAAATAAACTCAGAGAACAGTATTTTACAACAGACATATGTTCATAAACATATATCTCTGTGCCCTTTGGAACGCAACAGTGTTTACAGCTCGCTTATTTTGTCCAGTTGATCATGCGGTTCAGATAACATTCTTCAGGTTATTTACCGATAAACTGTGATAAAATATATGCAATATCATTTGACATCATTTTTTAACAGGATGCATTATATTAAAGAAAAGAAGATGTATTAATCTAAATAGAAGATTGGAATTTCTCAAACCAAAATGATAGAACGTCCTATTTGTTTAGTAAATCAGGTTGTTTCCTATGACTGTATTATAGGAGTAATAGAAGGAAGAGACCAATCAGTAATATCAAGCCACACAAGCCATAATGAATGGTCACATTAAGCATGATTTAAGAACCTATATAAACTGTATAGTACAGGTTAATTTCCATGTTGCTTTTTTACCACGAGTTGTTATTGGTTCTGTTGCCATTTATTCTATCAAGGCTATTCAAAGAACCACTCTAAAATAATTGTCAACGAATATAATATTATTATGTCTCTATTTTAGGCTCCGTTAAAATTTTCCATACTAAGATGTTTATTTACTGGAGGAGCAGAAAGATTAAATCTAATAATGTTTTCTGATAGCCCAGCCATAAACCCATTTTGGTCTATTAACCCTGACCTTGCTGCACACAAAGGAAGGTTCATTGTGTTGCTATACTCCTTTGTGTTGCTCTTTAAATTTGTTCTAGGGCATCACTGTTATACACTCAGACACATCAACAATATGGAGCTCCTAGGAAAAAGGGACAATGGATGGAAAAAAGGAACAGAGATACTTGAGCCCAAAATAGGGACTGTCCTTCCTATATAGGGACACTTGGTAGGTGTGTAGTTATATAACAAAGCATTCTCAGCCCTTTCCATCTGCCTGTAGGCCTGTTGTAAAGTTACTGTACAATAAACTAACTACTGGCTTCACCAAAGTACCTGGTATCAAGAACGTTGTATTTGTAGTCACCCATGACACACACTATTGTAATAAACATAATTAATATTTACAATAATTCAATGGCAATGACCTTGAGGTGTGCAAAATGCAGAAAATACCAAATCACCAAAACCGTGTAAGAGAACACACCCAGCTGGGATGGACTGCTAAAACGTACCAAACGCCATGCTATGTAATTACCATTAAGACTACATATGCATGGAAATTAACAACTTAGCAGGTTGCAAAAGCAACCTGCAGATTTAATATGGCTGAATCATGATAAGCTTATCAGAACCATAAAAATACAAGATATTAACTTATCTCTATAATAACATCAGTTAGTAGATAAAGATAGAAGTGCAAATGGTTATTGCTCAGTATACGTATTGCAAAACCATGGCCATGGTAATCTTTGTTTTGATTTATCAACTGTTCTAGAGTTTATATATTAATAAATGTAGCAAATGGATGCTGAAAATAGACCCAGCAGTCCCTTTCAGTTTTTCACATGGACAATGAGAGACAGTTTAATTTTAGGAGTTGGGGGTGTCTAGGGGTGGGACCGTTCTGAGAAATTGTGGGTGGCTTACTAATAACTTACGCAACTAAAATGTAATTTACAACAAAAACAATGTATCATATTTACATAGAGTCATTTCGAAACACATTTATGGTAGTTTAAAGACACACTACTGTGAGTATTATTGCTGTGGAGCTCTGTTATACTCTCAGACACACTAACAATATGCAGCTCCTAAAGAAGGACATTAGGATAAAAAAGGAGGGCAGAGGAATTGGTGCCCAAAATAGTGACTGTCCCTCCTAATTAGGGGCACTTGGGAGGTATGCAATGACAAGAGCGATAAGCAGCATTACTCAGTTACAAGTCATATATCCAATGTATACTAAAAATGTCTGACTTCACTTTACTTTAAAGGACCACTATAGGCACCCAGACCACTTCAGCTCAATGAAGTGGTCTGGGTGCCAGGTCCATCTAGGATTAACCCTTTCTGCTGTAAACATAGCAGTTTCAGAGAAACTGCTAAGTTTACCTATGGGTTAATTCAGCCTCTAGTGGCTGTCTCATTGACAGCTGCTAGAGGCGATCCGCGCTTCTCACTGTGATTTTCACAGTGAGAAGACGCCAGCGTCCGTAGGAAAGCATTGAGAATGCTTTCCTATGGACTGGCTGAATGCGCGCGCCGCTCTTGCCACGCATGCGCATTTAGCCGATGACATCAGAAGAGGGAGGAGAGTCCCAGCGCCTAGGGAGCCTGGCGCTGGAAAAAAGGTAAGGGATTAACCCCCTTCCTTCCCCTTTAGTGCAGCAGGAGTGGGACCCTGAGGGTGGGGGCACCCTCAGGGCACTATAGTACCAGGAAAACGAGTTTGTTTTCCTGGCACTATAGTGGTCCTTTAACCATACCTCTAACCCTTGTGTTACCCTAGAATATTTCTATCCATTTATATTTACATTACCTCTGATTTCACTGTAATCTCTCTATTTGTGTATTGCCACCATTATCGTCTTTGTGGAATTTGTTCTTCCGAGGGCAATGTCTAACACTAAACATGACCTTACCAGGCTATTTGCTAAGGAGATGATTGCCAGAAATTCAAAGTGAAGTCCAAGTGAGTTTTAAAATTTTGACCAAAATAGCTGCATTAGAAATGTCAGTTTGGCTATTCTGGCCTTAAATATGAAAGTTAATTTGAATTCCCAGCAATTCTCACTTAAGTAAATAACCCGGTATGTGTTGGACGCATATATTTTACACAATAACAAAATAATGAAAATGTTATGACTTTTCATTGTCATATTCACAACTTTTCTAACATTGCAGTTGTAAGGAATTATTCTTCAAAGTGTGATATTCAAAGTGTGATAAAAGATGGTCACCTGTAGCCCAGTAAACTAATTTTAAAATAGTGCATTTGTGCCTTTTTATACATAATTTGAAACAAAATAACTAGATAATAATTAATTTTTTTTTTTTCTATTTAGCTGCAGCAGGTGTACATTAATATATCTCTGGTGGAATATTTTAATATATATACGTATATATTTTATTGTAAATGATCTAAATATGGGTAATAGAAAAAAAAGGAATTGGGGGCACACCTGGAACATGCATATCTCAACAATGGTGCTGCCATAGAGACCAAAATTCATAGGCTTGTAAAATGTAATTGTATTTTTGTGTGTGCGCTGTTCTTTAATCTATATTTTGTATTTATTTTGGGCTCTACAGCTGCACCATTCCTGAGAAATGCATATTCCGGGTGTGACCTTAATTCCCTTTCTGTCTTTACTATGTGAGTTTAGAGTCCAGGCCAGACTCCTTTTGGGTTGAGCACCTCACCTCCAACTTCAGATGCCCCTTTAGAGGTGACCACAGGAAAGTATACATTTGAGGATAGTTATTAGATCAGATTTATGATATGTAATGAGAGTATATGTATCAAATAAATGTAATTTTTAGTGTTGATACTGCATTCTTTTGTATTGCATTTTTTACCACATTAATTTTACATAATATATATTTACAATGCCCTTACAACAAATTATGAAAACACGCTTTAGCTTATTTAATTTGTCTCCGATGTTGGAATTAGTGTAGGACCCACCGATACTGGAGTACTGTGACGTATTTGTGGGTTAAGCACAATATAACTATATGGTGGAACTGAATCTACATATTGGTTTGCTGAGATTTTAAGAAGCCTTATAAAATTGAAAACAATTTTTATGTGTGCGCGGTTCCTTAATCTGTCCAATTTACATATAATAACATCCTACATCAGCAATCTATATACATTTAAAAAAATACGGTGATCATTTTGACATGCATGCTTTTATCACAGTATGACCGCTGCAGCTGTAAGCAGTAGCTGAGGGAGGATGGATAAAGCTAAAGAATGTGCAAAATACACAAAGAATGAATATGCATGACTGAAAGCAAGAGAGACAAAACTCGGAGTTCTAAAACCTCAACATATATTGCCTGCAATAAACCTCAGTACTCTGTAGAATCATTTATTATTTATTCTATGGAATTAAACTGTGACCTTCAACCTTTGGGATGTAGTTAGCAAACCATCTATTAATTATGGGTGGAAGAGATGAAGCTTTTCTCTTTGTAAAGAAACCTTTTTAAGCTGGTGTTGCTTTAATGAAAAACATGACATTTATAATCCTATTATGAACATTATTACTCTGTTCTAGCTGTATTCCTTGCAAGGTTATGCTAGTCACTTGAATTAGTCCTTGCAAAGTAATGAGTAGTCACCATTACTTTCAGTTTTATACAATATTTTGCAAATAATCTGTTAATGAATTAATTTATCTATTTATAACGCTAAATGTGTTAATTTCCAAAAGACTATCATGGACAGCAGTAGCTCTAATGCAGATTGTTAACGCCATTGATCTTAACGAGACACACTCAGTGGCAGAAACTGATGATCTGATGTACTGATTTATTTTAGAGATATATATTTGTTAGATATCATATGGTTGTGTCAATTTTGGTTTTCTTTCTTGTTGATTTTTTTTTTGGAGTGAAATAATACAATATAATGAGTTTAGACATCAATTCAGCAACATGGATGGATTAGATAGTACAACAGTATAGTAACAAATTTAAGATAAAAAAACATTATATATATATATGCATCATGGCATCAAACAAAGAGTATACAGAGTATGGTTGTCCCTTGTTGTTTGTATTCCTAACACTATGGTGTCCCTCTGCCTCCATATCATTCCTCTTGTGTTGAAAGGGTTTAAAGCCCTTTCTTTCACTTACCCACTTTCACTGCACTGGTTCCATCTCCTCCTCCAGTGACATTGATCAATGCTTTCTTATGGGGATTTTGAAGATGTTGGACGTCCTCTCATAATGTGTGGACGTCCAACATTGTTTAATTCTGTGAAAATTCAGTTAGCGCCTCTACCTTTTTTCTATCCCAATGTCCCTATTTTCTAGGAGCGCCACACATTGGTGTGTTGTAGTGTATGCCACAGCTCCACAACAATAATACTCCCAGTAATGTGTCTTTAGACTACAAGATAACAAGATATTCTTGTTTTAAATTACATTTTAGTTGCATAAATTGTTATTAGTAAGTCATCTAAAATTCCCCCGGCCACAGCCCCACTAACAACACTAACTCTTTGTCCAATTCTAATGTTTGCGGGTATGTGGTATATATATATACGAAGTAAGCTGGTCCCCAATGTAATAATTATATTAGAAGTATGATCAAGACACTTGGTAATTCTGGGATATATACTCCTGCCTGCCATGGGTGGTACATCAAGGATATCAGTAGAGGGCTATAAATGACTGGGCTGGCTTAGATTGTAAATACTGTGCAAGAGAACACTTAACATAGGTAATATTTATCAAGTTAGACAAAGTGGAACTTTCCATGATTTTTAATACTATATTTGATTATCCTTTAATAAATAAAAGCTTGTGAGATCTGAGAACCAAAACGAAATATAGAAATCTACACTACTGTATTAGCTCCTGGAATTATTCTGCAATTCAATGCATTCATCATGGCTCTCTATCAATCATTGTTACAAGCTTTGCCCTTTTCTGTAACTGATCATATTACATGGAGTGAAGAAACAGATTTTTTTTTAAAGAATTATCAGCGTTCTGTTCTGAAACGTGGTGTAAAAAGGGAGGTGTCACCATTGGAACGTGCCTGCTGGTTCCACTGGCTTAGTATTTTAGACCACCCTTAGAACAGATCACATAGAGATAGAGGAAGTGTTACTGCAGTACCAAAAAATCTAAATGAAATAACCTATCAACTCTGTGCTGCTAATCTTGCACCATGTTGCTTTTCGCAGGGTTAAATATACTGTTAGGTCGGGAAATATGTGGGCACTGACACACGTTTTGTGATTTTGTCTGTTTACCAAAATAAATTCAAGTTACAGTTAAATAATGAATGTGGGCTGAAAGTGCAGCCTCTCAGCTTCAATTTGAGGGTATTTGCATCCAAATTGGAGGAAGGGTTTAGGGATTACGGCTTTAATATGTAGTCCCCTCCTTTTCAAGGAACCAAAAGTAATTTTACAACTGACTCAAAAGCTGTTTCATGGATGGGTGTGGGCTTTGTCTTCATTATCTTTTCATCAATTAATCAGGTAAATGGTCTGGAGTTAAATCCAGGTGTAGCATTCACATTTGGAAGCTGTTGCTGTGAACCCAAAACATGTGGTCAAATGAGCTCTCAATGTAAGCTGTAAGGGAAACAGCCCATCCTTACGACTGCATGGCTTCCAACAGCACTGCGTCAATAGTGTTTAGTGTTTATTAATAATGTGACAGAAGACAGAAGCAGTTGGATTAATTCCGAAGTGTATAGGAATATATTGTCTGCTCAGATTTAACCAAATTCAGCGAAGTTGATTGGACAGAGCTTCAATTTACAGATGGATAATGACCAATAACATACTGCGAAAGCAAACCATGAGTTTTTTAAGGCAAAGAAGTTGAATATTCTGTAATGGCCGAGTCAATTACTTGACCCCAAGCCTATCAAGCAAGTATTTTACTTGCTGAAGACAAAACAAAAGGTAAAAAGACCCACAAACAAACAACAACTGAAGACAGCTTAAGTAAAGGCCTGGCAAACCATCACAAAGGAGGAAACCTAGCGTTTGGTGATGTCAATGTGTTCCAGACTTCAAGCACTCTCCACAAAGTATAAAAATTAAAGGGACACTCCAGGCACCCAGACCACTTCTGCCCATTGGAGTGGTCTGGGTGCCATCTCCCACTACTCTTGACCCTGCAAGTGTAATTTTTGCAGTTTTTTATAAACTGCAATAATTACATTGCAGGGTTAACTCCACCTCTAGTGTCTGTCTACTAGACAGCCACTAGAGGGCACTTCCTTGTCCACAGCACAGAAAACCTGTGCTAGAGTGTCGCTGGATGTCCTCACGCTGTGTGAGGACCTCCAGCGTTGCTCATTTCCCCATAGGAAAGCATTGAAAACCATTTTCAATGCTTTCCTATGGGGAGCTCTAAAGCGCATGCGTGGCATTGCCGCACATGCACATTAGGTCTCCACGGCCAGTGGGCGGGATCAGTCTCGCCCACCGGCCAACGCAATCACTGGGAGGAGCGGTGGCGGAGGAAGAAGCAGCAACGTGGGACATGTTGCTGCCTCTGGTAAGTAACTGAAGGGGTTTTCACCCCTTCAGCAACCGGGTATTGGGGGGTGGGAGGGAGAGGGAACCTGCAGTGCCAGGGAAACGGATTGTTTTCCTGGCACTGGAGTTTCCCTTTAACATTTTATTTATGATTGTGTTAATTTCTCCAGTTACATTTGAGCCCCTGAAATAAGGGGACTGTGTATGAAAATGGTTACAATTCCTAAACGTTTCATATGATATTTTTGTTTAACCGCTTGAATTAAAGGGACCCTATATATTGTATTTGCTCTGCTGAGTGTAATGATTATATATATATGAGTAGAATCATTCCCTTCAGGCTTTTTGCTGTAAACACTGTGTTTACATTACAGCCTAGTGATAACGCCACTGGCCACTCATCAGATGGCTACTAGAGGTGCTTCAGGGGGTAGTTCTGCACACTGCATGGAGACACTTAACTTTCCTCATAGAGCTGCATTGATTCTTCTGTAAAGGTTTTTACACAAACAAAAAATCTGTAAAATAGGAAATAACCTTAAAACTTAACATAATACACATTTTGTAGTCATCAGAGTACAGGTATTGATAGGATAATCCACAGTGTTCGTTTGCATTTATTACAATGTGATATATATGTGACGTCTGAGGATGGTTTTTAGATGCATAAGGTTTAGTGGTTGGGTCCCTGTTCTCGTACCATTGTTGATGACCAGATTTCACTGGTCTACTTTTTATTTATTTTTAATCTTACAGAAACATTAATTATATGCTTGGAGTGGTATTTTAGCACCAAAAAGCAATGTAACCACAGGAACATAAGACAAAAGAAAGATAATGGAGTTATGTGGGGGATATGTGTCTTTTTGCTCCCAAAGGTCCCATACCTTTTGAAATGCGGTGCTGGTGCTCCAGACCTGGGCTGTTATCTTATCCATGAGGTAATTGTCCCTTAGCTTGGAGACAACCAAAGCGACTAAGGGCACAGGGTTGTCACTGGACTATATCCAATATCTATCATTCTCTTCATAGACTACTCAGAACTACTGGTATCCTGAGGTACAATTGGCAGCTGCACACTTCATGGGGGCTAAGTCCTTTTGTGGCTGAAATGCTTATTTACACATTAAGGAATGTTTCTTATTGTGTCACCTATTTTGTGAGTGTATTTTTAATAGTTTTTCTTTTTAACCTTGTTATCATTAAATGCTACACTATGTTATCTTATTTTATCTCTTTTCATGTTATCCTCTACCATCTGAGTGGTAATTGTAATCACACATTTGTGAAAGTGGCGCCCTACACTGTGCCTATTTTTTAACTAGACAGAACATATTTCTGTATTTAGAACAGAATACCATACTTTGCTAATTCTCCCCCTTAGTTTCTGTTTCTCCTCACTGATTTCATGTGTTTCCTGGCTGTATAACAACTGAACTTTGACTGTGATGTACTTTGCTAAATCTTTGTTATACATTGTAAACAAAAAGGAGCATTACATGGAAAATGTTAATACAAGTTAACCCCTTAAGGACTGAGCCATATGTACACGTTGTGAACGAAACAAAATGTAAACAAAACCTGGCATTTGCGCTACATGTCTGTCCAACCGTAATTCACCTCTTTCATATTAAATGCACCCACCCTTATTATATATCATTTTATTCAGGGGAAACAGGGCTTTCATTTAATATCAAATATTTAGCTATGAAACATAATTTAATATGAAAAAATGGGAGAAAATATGAATTTTTAAATTTATTTTAGTTCTACATGACATTTTAACTGTCAATGTCATAATACTGTTTGCTTTTACTGCAATAAAATACACATATTTGTATTCAGCAAAGTCTCACGTGTAAAACAGTACCCCCTATGTACAGGTTTTATGGCGTTTTGGAAAGTTACAGGGTCAAATATAGCATGTTACATTTGAAATTGAAATTCACCAGATTGGTTACGTTGCCTTTGGGACTTTATAGTAGCCAGGAATTAAATTTACACCCATAATGGCATACCATTTGCAATAGTAGACAACCCAAGGTATTGCAAATGGGGTATGTCCAGTCTTTTTTAGTAGCCATTTGGTCACAAATATATATATATATTTTTTTTTGACACCCTAAATGTATAAATAATGCTTTTGACAGTGGACAGGGGTCATCATGGGCACTCTGCTCGGTTTGCGGCTACGCAGCAAACTGTGATGCACTATGTTTTGTGACACCTTTCTATCATGGCCAACATTCGGTTTTTCAGCAATTTGAGGTACAGTAGCTCTTCTGTGTGATGGGACCAGACGGGCTAGCCTTTGCTTTCCATGTGCATCTATGAGCCTTGGGTGCCCATGACCCTGATGCCAGATCACCGGTTGTCTTTCCTTTGCACCATGTTTGGTAGGTTAAAATGACTTCATACTAGGGAAACCTCACACAATTTGCAGTTTTGAAGATTCTATGAGCCAGATGCCCACCCAGAACTATTTAGCCCTTGTCAAAGTCATTCAGATCTTCTTGTTATCTCATAGTTCCTGCTTCCAACACACAAAATTAAAGAGCTGATTGTTCAATTGCTGCATAATAATAATAATAATCATCAATTTTATTCATTTCACCTGCTAGTGCTTTTAACCCCTTAAGGACCCATGACATGTGTGACATGTCATGATTCCCTTTTATTCCAGAAGTTTGGTCCTTAAGGGGTTAATGTGTTTTTTTGACATATACATTGGTGTGGGTGGGTGTCTATAAGAGTCCATTTTAGGAATGTGTTGATTGTAAATGTGATTAATGTATCACGTGAAATCTGATAGCAAGTAATGAGTCTATTTACTTCTATTCCTTGTGATAGGAGATAATGTTTGGATTGAAAAAGATTCCAAAAACAATCACTGGTTGCTAGTCATTATCACATCCTAAGTGGCATAATGTAATGCACTACTTGCTAGAAGATAAGAATTCACAAACTATGAATCTATATTCACAATAATTAATATTTTAAATTAAAATGTAAATCCACGTATTATGGATGCCTATTTTCATTACACAATGAGATTGATGAGGTCATGGCTTAAAGTTTAATCCTGTTTTTACAGTATGGAAGTCACTGCCTTAGCAACAGATTTCATTTACTAAATCCTCCAAAGTTTTATGGCATTGTTTATGGAATACAAAGCCCTATAACCACTCAAGTATGAAGCCAATTGAACGCAAAATATCTCAAACTATCATAATAAATGCTTAAACCGTTTACTGTTTGAGAAAGCATAAGTCCCATTTGTACATTATGCAAATATCTTCTTCCTGATTGCCTGACAATTCTTTAACTTGATTTGCAACTAGTGTTGACATCGACAGAGCGTGTATTAAGGTATAACTTCATTTTTTAGAATCGTCCTTAAATATAGTGTAAGTGCAACAAAGTTATTATTACAATGCCAAAGAAACAGCTTAATTAAATAGAAAAAAATATTTAAAAAAAAAATTAGATGTGTTCCTTTCTTTATTTTAGAGTACTGTGTTCCTCTTGGTTATCTAAAATATGATTTAGAAAGCGCTTAAAGGAACACTCTCGCATTAACAATACAAACCTGTATTTTTAATGTTTTAGTGCCCCTGTCCCTAGTAAAATGCAATCCTTCCCCCACCCTCGGCATTTTACATTGCAATGTTAAAATGACTGGGTCACTGCACCAAGACCACTTAATCTCAATGAGTGCGTGACTTAAGTGTCCCTTTAAACCTATATGTAATCCAGCACCAAGGCAAACTCCATACAGCTGGAAAAGGACTCTATCCTTTTCCAGTGAAGTTATTGATTCTGATGACTTTTGTCCAATCAGATGCTTCTCATAGAGAAGCATTCCGTAAGCACAACACGTGTGGCAATTATCGCTATCCACTAATCCAATACGTCTTGTAGAGAAGCACTAAATGTACACAATATCCTGCGTTTACATAATGACATTACAGTCCAATAGATTCAAAAACTGAATCTATTTGTATGAAAAGTCTGCCAGACAGGCGCTAGTAGAAACGGGAACTGCAAAATGTAAACATTATTTTCCCGAGTTTTGCAATAATAATGTGTGCATAATTAGTGCAGCTTACTAAAAGTAATTCAGATAAAATAATGTATTTGTCCTGATACACAGTAAGTACATAATATGTCTAGGATTTCACTTTATTTTGGTATTTACAGGTCACAAACTCAAACACCACACCATTTGTGTATGAGCGACTGACAAAGTCCTACAGAAAACGATTACTTCAGATTATTGCTGCTAAAGGTGGTTCTACAAGCTATTAAATCATAAGGTGTACTTAGTTTTTCATACATGGCTTCTCCGTTTTGGCTTTATTTTGGTTAAATACATATGTCATATGTTGTTGTTCATGAGGCTGTATTTACCTAATTTTAAGATTAGCTAAGGAAGATATGATTGCTATTGTGTTCTGATATGTAAAACCATGGAATTCAATGAGGGTGTAGATCTTGAGGAAGACCTGAAGAGATCGAAACGTCGATCGGACATTTAATTATGTTGGACATTAGATACCAGTAATTATTTCTAAAGACCACAGACATGGGCGTCCGCAGGAATTTTTCCAGGGGGGGGCATAATTGTAATGACATCCATGCTTGGTACCTTTTTGACAGTGTCATGAAAGGGAAGGGGCACAGCCATTATCACATAAAGCCAGGGTGAATAGCATTTTCACAACTATGGTGTCAGGAATATATGTTTGTATTCTTGACACTATAGTTTTCCTTTAAGTAAATTAAAGGACCATTCTGGTCACCATAACAACTTCACCTAAATGAAAATGCTATGATGCCAGGAAGCCCCTGGGTGCTCGCTTTCCTTTAAGGGGTTAAATCGCTCTCAAATGGTTTAAACTCAAAGGCTTCCTCCAGCTCCAGGTCGCTCAGTGGTATTTGGCTTCTGAAACAGAGTGTCAGGAAGTGCAGACTGACGTCAGGCATGGGTGCCGCTGATTGGCTAGAGTGGACAGTTGACGCTCTAAGCCAATCGCTAGTTCCCGGTTCATAAAATATTTTAACTTTTTTTATGAATGGGGAGCTACTGATTGGCTTAGAGTGCCAGCTGACCGCTCTAGCCAATCAGCAACACCCCTACCCAACGGCACTCTGTGCTTCCTGACACTCAGTAAATAAAAGTGAACACATTAACACCAATATTTTTTTACCTTTGGAGATGAGAAGGTCCAGTGTTTCCCTGCCTGGCCCAGGTACCAAAGCCTTATGATGTGGTGTCCAGAATAAAGTGGAGGGTTCACTTCATTTGTCCTTCCTGCTCCAATCTCCTTTTCCTCTCCTTCATTTGACAGTCTTTTTTTTTCTTCTGACACTGTTTTCTATCCTTGGCCCCTTCTGCTCTTTTACCTTTCTGCTACTTTCTGCTTATTTTGCGCCCTTCTGCTCCTTTCTCATTCTGATCCCTTTCTGCTCCTTGCAGACCCTTTCTGCTCCCATTTCTACTTTAACTTTGTGCTCCTTGCTGTCCCTTTCTGCTCTTTCTCCTACTTTACCTTTGTGCTCCTTCTGATTCTTTCTGCTCCTTTACCTTTGTGCTCCTTACTGCTCTTTGCAGGCCCTTCCTGCTCATTCTCCTACTTTATGTTTGTGCTCCTTCTGCCCCTTCCAGCTTATTTCTGCCCCTTTGTGCTCCTTCTACTTTACCTTTGTGCTGCTTTACCTTCCAGCTCCTTGCTGACCCTTCCTGTTCATTTCTGTTCCTTTGTGCTCCTTCTCCTACTTTACCTTTTGTGCTCCTTGCTGTCTCTTCCAGCTCCTTGCTGCCCCTTTTTGCTCCTTGATGTCCCTTCCTGCTCATTTCTGTTCCTTCTGCTTTTCTCACTTTACCTTCCTGCTCCTTGCTGACTCTTCATGTAGGCTGTCTCCCCATCCCTCACTTCCATAGGCGTGCGCACGGGGTGTGTTGGGTGTGCCTAGGCACACCCTAATTCCTGCGGCACGCCAATGGATTGAGACCGGCAGGGGAGATCTCTGGATCTCCCGGGTCGGCTCATGCAGAGCCGACGCTATCCGAGCGGCGGCTCTGGTCTAAGCCTCCATGGGCTGGTGGGGAGATCAAAGTTCTACCTCACCGGTCCACAGCAGCATGGAGGGAGGCAGCAGAGAACCCGGGCTAGAGTTCACTCTCCACTGAACCACCAGGGAAGGCAGCAGGACTGGGATATTAACTAATCTGCCCCCACTTCCACCCAAACATACAGCACACACACACACAGCAGCTACACACATACATCACCCTCGCACACACAGCACCCACACACATACAACACCCACACACCCAACACGCTAACAGCATCCTCACAAACACACAAAACCCACACACAGCACCCGCACAGCACCCACAAACAAACAGCACCCTGACAAACACACAACACCCACACACAGCACACTAACAGGACCCGCACAAACACGCACACACAAACACCCTCTCACACATACACACACAGCACACTACCAGTTCCCTAACACACAACACACAAACAGCACCCTCACACACAGCACACTAACAGCACTCTCACAAACACACACAAAAACACCGTCACCCACATAGCACACTACCAGCACCCTCACACACACACACAGCAGTGTGTATATATATATATATATATATATATATATATACACACACACACATACATACATATACACATGGCGTGTGTTTGTGATTTAGGGTGCACACCCTAATGCAATAGGCTCACTAATCTGCTCACTTCCCTAATCTATAGGCTGCCCCCACAAAATCTATGGGCTGTTGCCCCCCCCAAATCTATGGGCTGCTGCCCCGCCCCAAATCTATAGGCTGCTGCCCCCCTCCCCAAATCTATGGGCTGCTGCCCCCCCAAGTCTATAGGCTGCTGCTGCCCCCCCCAAGTCTATAGGCTATCTCAATCCCCCAACCCCATCCCTCACTTACCTGATCTGTAGGCTGTCTCTGGCTGCATGTGTTGCTCCCCTGCGGTTTCAATCAGCAGAGAGAAGCAGGGATAAGATGCAGCTTCCTATCCCTGTCTCTCTCCATACACAGCGCCACCTACTGGCCGGCACCGGTATTGCAGTTCATTTTAAATCTCACACGAAAAATAGCAGAACAAGCTGAAAAATCCAGGGGGGGGCAAGTGCCCCCCCTTGCCCCCCCCCTGCGGACGCCCATGACCACAGAGTGTATCTCTTCTTTATTCATTGTCTATACCCAGCGTGGGATTGCACCAGGGCATATTTTTCTACATACCACATGAAAGGGTGAGTGCCACTATATCTATACATGTCTATATATATATATATTTACACACATACATAGGGATTTGGGATAAGGATAGCGCAGGGCTTCATTTTGTATGTTTGCATTTGCATTACACAGCCATGTTACAGTGCTTCCACCTACCCTATTAATAAGTGTCTCTGTTATGCAATCGTGTCGATCTGGAGTTAATCCTAGTATATAATGGGATTATTCTGTCATGGGTTCTCTTGGCATGGACTGCCATGATTAAATAATTCCATCATTGGTCCCTAATTTACTAAATGAAGGATCTTAAAGAATTTAAAGAGTACAATCCCCACTTGGTTGTGTTAATCAGTTTAGCATAGTTAGGTGTAAATTTACCATAATGCACAATTAAACCATATAATACTTAAGAAAAAAAACTAAAATCAAACATGTTTGTTCCTTGGTGCAACATTCCCCACTCCTAATGCAGAGTTAATAAACTCTGCAATGGTCTTTATTTAATATTAAAATATATATGGTGCCATTTTGGAACAAAAACCTATGTCAACTTGAAAACTATATACAATATATAGAAATAAAATTGGTTTCCCTAAGTGTTTATATAAAATTAATTTCCACATTAATTGTTTTATGTGATTTATTTTTTATTCAATTATAGATAAAATCCAATGGATTGTATAACGATACACTAGGCAGAAAAAATGAATAAGCAAACCTTTACAGTGTCAACGCTCTACAAACAAAATCGCAATAGTAAACAGAACAAAGTCACCCCAGTGATCTCATTCATACTGGGGTTTCTGTAAACAAAAGCAACACGTCAATATGGTTGCAACATGTCTTATCATACAATTCTTCCAGTTATCATCCTCCTTAGTTTATTGGAATCCCTTATCTACAGATGGCACCCAACACAGCATCATCCATAAAGCCCACATGTCTGGAGATCCCATGATCTAATGCTCACAACTCACATGGCCTAATGAAACACAATGTGGCCTAAACCTCCTCAAATCTAACAAGAAACCACAAATAAATGAAATTCGCAAACCATATATTTTAAAGCTGATCAAATGTTTTATATTGTTCTGTATCATCACATTTGCACTCTTAAGATCTATTTAAAAAAGAAACAATATGCTTCTACTATAAGCCCTGGGAGTATGGAACAAGGCTCAGAGCACTGTACATAGGTGAAGAAAGACTTTTTGTGCACAGTTAGCTATAAGGTACATCCCATGACCCTATAGAGGTTATCCAGCAGCATGTAGTCATGTATGTATGTCGTTGTCTTTAATATATTTGCCGTGCTCCGGGCACAATAAAAGCACAGCTCCTGCAAACGAACAAGGCTGACCTTCATAGCACGAGCAGGTTACATTCTGGACAGCTAATGGTGAAAGATGGCTTTATGTCTCCATAAAGCCATCTTTCACCATTAGCTATCCAGAATGTAACCTGCTCAGTGTGTCTGTACTGCCAGGGATGGAATTTTATGGGCAGGCAATATTATATATTTTAAAGTGTTAGCACACACAGGCAGATGTCATTACAGTTCTGTTTATTTCTCCTGTAGACTGTAGCCCTAGATTATTTGATCCTAGCAACACTCTGGAATCATATACTACGGAGAGTATAAGACCAATAATTCAGCAGTGGTGTTTTATATAACCATAACTGGCATCCGGTAGATCTATACAGGGAGGTGAAGGAAAAACCACCAACATACAGAGAAGGGGATGGGATCCCTGTCAATATCCCAACACGCCTGCAAATAATAATCTAATCTTATTGGCTCTTTACTTGTGGGTACATTGATAGAAGATCTACTTATTATTTCCCACTTAAAACTACTGTATTGCACGAGGATATGGTTACTTTTGTATTTCAGTAACCAATAATCGAATATGTTGGTCTTGGTCCAGTGCATCAAAATGTTTACATTATATTGAACTTGCACGCTCCAACTATTTGGTTTTATTATTTGGTCTGGGTTTAGGATACCACACAGGTGTTAGAGTGTGCTACACTACTGGGATTTAGTACATATATTTTTTTCCCAAGTGTTTTATACAGCTTTTGCAGAGTAATTGTAGATGTAAACGATATTAAATACAGTTGTAATGAAAATTATTCAACCCCTATTAAAAACCAGGTTTATTTCCAAAACGTATAGACTTTCAGCTCAACACCACAAATGCTTCATGTGGTTTTCACAAACTCAACTGAAAATACAACGTATAATGACTTTTCCAGTGTCAAAATTATTCAACCCCTTCACGGGAACTATTTTTGGAATTAGTAGAGCACATTTTTGCTGTTATGACCTGCTGCAAACGAGATGCATAGCCAGACACAAGCTTCTGGTTGTGTTGTTCCTGAGGAATCTTAGCACATTACTCATGAGTTCAGTAATGTTCTTGGGTTTGCGTGCTGCTTCTTCAAATCCCACCAGAGATATTTTATGGGGTTAAAGTTAAGTGACTGTGATAGTTACTATAGAATTTCCCAGGACTTCTTCTGCAATCAATCCTTGGTGGAATTTGAGGTACACTTGGGATCACTGTCTTGTTGCAAGTTCCAATGACTCACAAATTTCAGCTTCCTCACAGATGGCATGACATTTCCTGATACTTAAAGGAACACTATAGTCACCTAAATTACTTTAGCTAAATAAAGCAGTTTTAGTGTATATATCATTCTGCTGCAATTTCACTGCTCAATTCACTGTCATTTAGGAGTTAAATCACTTTGTTTCTGTGTATGCAGCCCTAGCCACACCTCCCCTGGCTATGATTGACAGAGCCTGCATGAAAAAAAAAACTGGTTTCACTTTCAAACAGATGTAATTTACCTTAAATAATTGTATCTCAATCTCTAAATTGAACTTTAATCACATACAGGAGGCTCTTGCAGGGTCTAGCAAGCTATTAACATAGCAGAGGATAAGAAAATCTTAATTAAACAGAACTTGCAATAAAGAAAGACTAAATAGGGCTCTCTTTACAGGAAGTGTTTATGGAAGGCTGTGCAAGTCACATGCAGGGAGGTGTGACTAGGGTTCATAAACAAAGGGATTTAACTCCTAAATGGCAGAGGATTGAGCAGTGAGGCTGCATGGGGCATGTTCTATACACCAAAACTGCTTCATTAAGCTAAAGTTGTCCAGGTGACTATAGTGTCCCTTTAAATGAATCCACCTTGCCTTTTACATGCTGCAGGTTTTCCAGTGCCAGAGGATCTACACAGATTTTCAATGGGGGTTGAATAATTAAAGATGAGATATTGTTACCTAAACCTCAGTTAACCCCTTAAGGACCAAACTTCTGGAATAAAAGGGAATCATGACATGTCACGCATGTCATGTGTCCTGAAGGGGTTAAGTTTATGATTAATAAAACTGTTGCACATGTGCTGTTATTTGTAAACTTGAAAGGCTTTTGAAAATAAATAACCTAGTTTTAGCCATGTTAAAATTTATCTCAGAGGTTGTGAAAAAATACAATATTGTTGTTAATGTTTACCATACATGTGCTAGATTATATTTATATGCAAATATCCATGTTAATATATTGATCTTAATGTGTTAACCTTGGACCACAGAATAATTTTAAAGGCAATGTCCTAATCACACCTTTTAAATAAAAGAGAAAGTTTTGCCAGCTACAGCTGTAAGGCATAAGTTACAAACATCATGGGTATAATAAACTAGTATTCACTATTCCCTATATTTTTCTTCAATATGAGGGAACAAAATATCATATGTATAATAGCTGATTTTGTATTTTCCTGATTGGACAGCTACTCAATTAAACTACCCACCTGCCTAGTCTACTAATATATTGAGAAGTTCAGTAACAGTTTGGCTAGTGCTGTTTGGATGACCAATGACTTCAAATATATTGTAATAAACATGCTCTAATCATTTTACAAAACTTTATGGAGGAAATCCAGCTATTTAAAAAAAAAAAAAAAAAAAAACATAGTAAAAGTTAGTATGCGGTGGAGTGTGGGAGAATTAGCTATAAAAACATATTATCAAGAAATGTTTCGGATTCATAATTTAAAAACACTGGTTCTGCAACATTTAGGGTTAAATTGATATTTGTACATGTATTTCCATTCAGAATTCTAGATTTTGTAAAACATATTTTTAATAAATGCATATATAATTTTTTATTTTATATTAATAAACTCTTTATATTTTTCTTCATTTACAATTTTTACACACATCCTTATTGTATTTGATCTGTAATTTTTTGCCTACACTATCACTTACACCAGGGCCGGAACTTCCTATAAGGCGACCTACGCAGCCGCCTAGGGCCCTTATCGCCAGCCCTTCTAATGATGCAGCCACCTGAGCGCTCTATAGAGAGCCTCAGGCGGCTGTAGCACTGCCTCTCTCCCCCCTTTCTCCTCACCCCCTCACTCAGTGTGCACTTTTTGTCAGTCCGGCCGGGTATAGGAAACAGAAGCTCCTAGGGGAGGGTGGGGGGAGAGGAGAGACCAATAATGGTGGGGGTGAGAAGAGACCACAAGGGAGGGTGGGAGGAGGAGAGACTACTAAGGGGGGGGAGGGAGGAGAAACCACTAATGGAAAGGGGGATAGAGGAGAGCAGAGATCACTAAGGGGGTGACGAGAGACCACTAAAATCAGGTAGAAAAGGAGAGACCACAAGGGGGGGGGGGAGGAAAGTAGAGACCACTAAGGGAGGGGGGGAGGAGAGTAGAGACCACTAAGGGACAGGGGAGGAGAGACCACTAAGGGGCAGGGGGGAGCTCTAAGTGACTGAAGGGAAAGCTCTATAGGAGAGGGGGCAGGACGGGGGGCAGGACAGGGAGCTCTTTCACACTACGCGCACACAAGGGCGGTAAAAATCCTTGCACCAACCCTGACTTACACTGATCTCTTTATTCATTATTTTTAATGTCATGCATGTTTTCTTAATAATTTTATATCTGTGCATGATCAACATGGAATATTTCAATCAGATCATTGTTGTGATGATCATGTCTTTATTTGAATATGCAATAGCTTTGAAGGAACTGATTCCCTATATTGTTGGGAAATAGAAGACTTATTAGATGCTGTTCCTATTATATAAGATACAATAAATATGTTGATTAATCCCGCCAGGGCCTCTCTTGAGAAATCCTGGTTAAAGTGGGCAAAATTATTTGGAGCACAGAGCAATATATAGACTCAGGCACCACAGAGATTTAAGTGGAACTCCGGACTGCTAATGCTGGCTCCTGCGTTCAGACTTACCTATACGATCCAACATAGCGGTAAAACCATCACAGTGACACTGTATCTTGCCTGTATTTTGATCCTTGGAAAAATTACAGTATCACGCTACGCAGGTAATATAGACTAAATGATAAATATCATCACAAACACACACACCCACTTACACTCAGCCAACCACACATACAATCCACACACATCACACTCATCAAACCCCACACACCCAGCCAAGCACACACATCTTATAATATTACACTAAAAACTGTAATACATGCATGTACTCTCCACATCAGTGAACATAACAAAACATATTACTAGGGGTGTTGGGGTGACACCATGAGTTACCACACTGGATGACACCAATCCTAGTAACGACACTGGCTTATGGTACTTAGATTAACCCTTTAATAAAATAAACTCTTCACCCACTCAGACAGCTCCAGCTCACATGTGAAAGTAAAACGTATAGTAAACTTAACTGCCAGGATCTTTTAGTCTTGCTGTGTGTTAAGAACCAGAGCAATTTTGGCTTTCTTACACAAATGTACTGGACTTTACACTCCCTCTTACAATTACATGCATCCACACAAAATATTTTTAAAGGACAAATGGAACTTGTTATGCTTTAGATGTATATAACTCATCACATATTACGAATATTGTAAAAATTGTGAAACAAATTTCAGCTATTACCGGTACCCTTTTCACTATGATTTTTATACAATTACTTTAAAAAAAAAATCCCGCCCACAAAACAGATTTCACTATTGTCATGATTTTCCAAATACATCATCTGTCTAGGATTTCATATTAACAGCAGTTTAATAAGATTGCCAAATGATTAAATACTGTTAGAAAAACATTCCAAATTATTTATCTGCAAAAATTTCAATAGACTGTTGTTATTGAGCTCTAATACCAGTCGCCCTGCTCTCCCCCATTGAGATGAGAAATCCTACTGGCACTAATAGAACATTATGTTCATTGAATTTAACCCCTTAAGGACACCTGACGGAAATATTCTGCCATAATTCCCTTTTATTCCAGAAGTTGTGTCCTTAAGGAGTTAATGAGTGCTAAGGTTGTGGCATGCATGAAAGCAAGGAAATTCATACTAAGTCAGTTAAGCAGTTACAGATCACAAACACATTCACCTGTGCATTCCGAAAGGTTCTATTTACATCTACAGGCAAAATTATACATTAGACAACTGGTGACTCAAAGCTGATGGGATCATGGAAACAAGATGGCAGCTCTTATGGTGACAGCTGCAGTGATGAGTTTTACAGTAAGTTAAAACTAATTATATGTTTCTCAACAGTTGCAAAAGTTTATGTGGAGACATCATTGGTGTGTAACATTGAGAAAGATAATACATTAACTCGTTGGTTTTCTTTTATAAGACCAGTTCTGTCATATAATAAAAGTAATCTGTTGTAATCGCGTGAGAAATTAATCACATGACACATTGCATGTGTAATGCCAGAAACTAAATTCATTGAGTAAGTGGAAAATCCTGATTGAGGCTTAAGTCACCTAAGCACAACAAAGTCTTACTTGAACTAATGCCAAAAGTCAGGATGTGCACACCTGCGGGAGGTTTCACCTAATAATGTAATTCTAACAGTAAAGACTAATATCTATTTAAGAAAAGTTTATGGCATTAAATGAACACTGTACTCACTATAACAAATTCATCTTACTTAAGTTATTATAGTGCCTACAGTAGTTCCCCCTTGAATTATCCCCCCAAATCTTTTATTTTACTAATTAGAAGGAATGGGAGGATGGTTTCAAGCCACGCTTCCTGACCTATGAATAGTTACTTCCCTGGACAGTTACTTCCCAGCTCTCATATCACTTTTTTTTTAAATTTACAGTGCACACAAGGGGGCAGGGCCGCCATCAGGGGTGACAACCATGATGGCCCCCACATGTAGTGGCGGAACTGCCACCAGTGCAGCTGCCCTGGGGTCCTCACGCTGATCGGGCCCATCGGGTGGCCCACGCACTAAGGGCCACCCGATGGGCCCTATATCTTCAGAGGCCCGGTCAGCGCTGTGACCGTATAATAATGCCACCGGACCCCTTTAAAAAAATTTCAGCTGCAATGCAAGTGCTGCTGGGAGGAAGTGATGGCCGGTCACTTCATCCCAGCTCACTCCTCACTCCAGGAGGGTGGCTGAAATATGAGCGGTGTGTTGTCAGTGTGTATGTTTCTCAGTATGTTTGTCAGTATGCATGTATGTCAATGTGCATGTCAGTGTGTATGTCTGTCTGTCTGTATGAATGTATGTCTGTGTCTGTATGTATGTCCGTATGTGTGTGTGTGTCTGTATGTATGTTAGTATGTGTCTGTGTGTCACTATGTATGTCTGTGTGTCTGTATATGTGTGTATATCTCAGTAGGTGTGTGTCAGTATGTATGCCTATATGTGTGTATGTCTGTTTCAGTATGTGTCTGTTAGTATTTTATGTGTGTATCTTTGTGTGTGTGTATCTGTGTCCTTTTGTATTAGTGCGTGTGTTTGTGTCTGTGTGTGTATTCCTGTGGGTGGGATATGGAGGCGGTCCCCATGGGCGGGCTTGGAGGGGGGCCCCCGGGGGCCCTGACCATGAGCTGAGTTAGGGGTCCCAAAATTTTTGATGGCGGCACTGCAAGGGGGTGGAAAAAACTTACTAGGAAGATAAAGACAATACAGTTATGAATACAGATTTCCATTCCTAACACTATAGTGTCACTTTAAAGAAAGTCTGTAGTGTGTGTCTATAATTTTATTACTCTATAACCGCAAAAAGTACAAATAAAGTGGAAACATGAAGTTTTAATAAATTGGAGAGATCACAAAGTGTTCTATTAAAAAGCATACAGTACAGTCATACTTGGCACAGTCACCCTCCCTTTTATCTCAGCTTGGTATCATCAGATATTTTATTATGTATGTGTTGTATTTGTGACATAATAAATAAAACCCCAATACTAACTGATATGACTAAGAGTTTGGTATGGATGGCACAAATCCAACTTTAATAGTATGAGCAGGGTGACCAGATCCAACATGTTTACATGGACAAAAAATATGTTTGTCATAATTATGAAAACACATGAAAACAGTTGGCCTGTAGTATTTATAATGCATATTCTGCAGGATTCTTCATTGCTTAGTTGCTTTATCTAATACACCTTTTCATGTGCTGCCCATCATATGTATACATGATATGTGTTCCAGAAAACATGGTGGTTCTGGACAGCCCCTGAGTATGAGAGATGTATGACTGTCCACAAATCTCCAGATATTATTCAATTTGCAGATGTGTAGATGATCCCATTTTTGCTCAACAGAATACTCTTGTTATTTCTGCCATTAGCGGTATATTATGGACTAAAATACATAATCTGGATATATATTTATTTTACTGAATATTTGGTGCATAGTACAAAAGTATATGCGATATTTATATCAATATGGTGGATTATAAAATGATATCATGAAAGTCCATTGGCTGTCAATAAGTTAACAAGAACAATAAAATAAAATCTAATCATAATAAATAAAATACGGAAGTGGATTTAATAAATACAATTCTATAAATACAAACCCGGCTAATTATCATAATAGTCTTTTGTAACCACTTTTCATATCAGAAAATGTGATGTATTGGAGCCTAATTACAGAACGTCCCTTTAAAGTTTAACACGGTAAATCAACTCTAGTCATTTATTTTGCTAAGTACTGAATTTAGACTCAAACTCTCGACCAGAACCATAAACAATGAATTGTCCAACCTTTTATTTGCTCATGCAACCAAGGTATTAAGCACAGCCATGAAGGCGCAAGTACTTTATCTGTCACATCTGATGTATGTATGTATTCAATAGTTTGCAATTTCCCCTAAAATCAGATTTAAACAGACATTAAAACAAATACAGAGATTATTTGCCCAATACTTACACACTCCAGATCTTGGGAAACAGACATAGTTTGCAGTGTGTCCCTTCAACACTTATTTGATCTCCCTTGAAATATTTCATAATCCACATATTATTTGACTTAGTAGTAAATGAAGCATTTTCCTTTGAGTCTAGAGTATAAATTATTCTAGTTCTATATAAACAGCATGGACAAAAAACAGTATTTTGAACACAGCTAGCCATAAGGATTATATTTTATGGCACATTCTAGTTGGTTATTTCATGTTCAAATAAAAAAAGCAATATGTCTATTTGACCTTTTTACTGTAGATTCCACCTAAGACTTTATTTTATTTCCAAATTAGTGTTTTTTTCATAAACCATGCATAAACATTTTTGTACAAATGCTGCCAATGTATGTTAGTGCAATGTGTAGGGAGTCTGTGTGAATGACAAACCAACAAGCAAGACTGGCAAGATGCATTTAATTAAATGAATTGTATATGCACTATGAATGCAGTTTCCATATTTATTAGCCCTGTTAACGTCTATGTAAATGATGGAAGACGTTTTGGGATATTTATGTTGTCCAATACCCTTTGACATTCAGAGTTCCACATCACTGAGTAGGTACTGAATACAGACTTCACCATTTACACAGTAGCTGGCACACTCCATGTATAATAGTTAAACTTAATCAGTACAGAATGTTACCCTACACTAAGGTAGAGCAGTTGGTTTTAGAATATTGAAATTGCTTCTAAGTGAATCAACTACCTCTAAAACCATTTCTTTCATCTGCCTCAATTAAGAAATTTTTTGCAAGTTGCATAAAACTATGAAACACTAAATGTAACTGACTAGTTTATAATACATCAGCTCTCTTATAGGGGTCCATCCACTAAATGTTGAGTTGCACAACCTTTGCAGTTAATCTACACAATTCTAGGTGAAAAAGCCATCTTCAACAAATTCTCCAAATTGCCTATTTACTACAGGAAAGTTGCAAAGTCACCAACTGCCAAGGAAAATGAGTAAACTGGTGACTTCCTTATATGTTCAACTGAGCCTATCTGGCTGATCAAGTTTTGGATACCAGGTTAAAATCTCCTGATTGCCAGACCTGAACATCATTCAATTGCAAGCTAGCAGCCACAAGCATATATTTGTACATAAATAGATTACTTGGAAAACTGAACTAGGAATCTACTGCAAAACTCTTGCCCTACAGACAGTGGTGTAGAAGCTGAAAAAAATAAATTGAAAAATTAAAAGGCCCACTAAATACATCCCAACCATACTGTAATAATCTGGAGGCAGCCAACCCATCAATGACCCTTTACATGTGGGATAGTATTAAATGTGGAGATCCCACTGGACCTCTTATTAACAAGAGGCCTATTCTATTGAATGGTACTACCTCACATGGATGCAGGTTAGCTGATGGGGCTTGGGCAGCGATGGACTGCATCCCCAACTCCAGAGTTGTAAGATAGGGGCAGTTAAACAAAGGATATGGAGGTCTACAATCTTCTGTCCAAGGCAGATTCAGTGGCTTTTTAAATCATTTTTATTTTTAAAATCATTTGAAAAATTGATTTTCAGTTCACCCCAAAGATCTACAAAGGTCGAGTTATAAAGCAGACTATTTGCAAAGTTCAATGTGTGTATTTAAAAGTCATCTTCATTTCTGCATTTAGTCAATACCAGAGTTGATAACCGCTGGAGATCTTACTGTGTATCTCAGCACTTACCAGATCAGGAGCAATTTAGAAGCTTTGGTAAATGGCATCCCAATAAATTGTGAAATATTATATTCTTGGTACATTGCACAAAAACTGTACAGTCTGTTTCACGGAAAGCATCATGTTGCAATTTGTAAATAACTTGTATCATAATAACCTCGCCTTAGTTTCCAAGACTCCATGAATACACATTTAGTGCTTAAACAAAACTCACTGATTCATTTTTAATCTATAAACAATATGTACCAAACTGAAAGCCACATCTCAGCTTAATTGTTGTCATAGCACTGTTTATTTCACAGTACAATAATTCTCAAAACTCATACCATAGAAAGATAACAATATTTGAATGTTACAATTGGATGTAATTCTCAATAAGTTTAAAAAAATAATATATATTATCCACACACTTATCAGCCACAACATGAAAATGACCTGCCTAACATTGTTTAAGCCCCCCTTGTGCTGCCAAAACAGCTCTGATGCGTCAAGACATGGACTCCACAAGACCTCTACACATGTTCTGTGGTATCAAGCACCAAAACATTAGCAGCAGATACTTCTGCAAGTTGTGAGGTGTGACCTCTATCGATCAGATATTTTGTTCCAGAACATCCAACAGATACTCTATTGGATTGAGAACTGGAGAATTTGGAGTCCAAGGCAACACCTTGAACTCTTGTCATGTTCCTCAAACCATTCCTGAACAATTTTTGCAGTTTGGCAGGGTGCATTATCCTACTGAAAGAGGCCATTGCCCTCAGGGGTGTACATGGGCTGCAACAATCTCTAAGTTGGTGTAAAAGTAACATAAAAGAACATTGCCCAGAGGGTAACACTAGTCTGCTTTCTACCGATAGTGCATTCTGCTGCCATCTCCTGCCCAGGAAAGCGGCGCACATGCACCTGGCCATTTAACTGATCTTAAAGAAAACAAGATTCATCTGACTAGGAAACCTACTTCATTTGCTTTGTGGTCTAGTTCTGATGCTCACATCCTTTATATAAGGCGCTTTCGACAGTGGACAGGGGTCATCATGGGAACTCTCACATGTCTGTGGCTCACAGCCAACTGTAATGCACTGTGTATTCTGACAACTTTCTATCATGAAAAGCATTAAGATTTTCAGCAATTTGAGCTACAGTAGCTCTTCTGTGTGATCTGACATGCTTGCCTTCGCTGCCCACATATGTCAATGAGCTTTAGGGGCCCATGACTCTTACGTTGGTTCACCGGTTGTCCTTCCTTGCATCACTTTTAGTAGGTACTAATCATACTAATCCTTGCATACTAGCAACACCCCACAAGACTTCCTGTTTTGAAAAATGCTCTGACCCAGTTGTCTAGCCATCACTATTTGGCTCTTGTCACTCAGATATTTTCTCTTGCCCAGTTTTTATGCTTTGAGCACATTAAATTCAAGAACTGACTGTTCACTTACTGCCTAATATATCCTACCCCTTGACAGGTGCCATTGTAATGCTATAATCAATGTTATTTACTTCTCCTATTTAATATTGTGGCTGATCAGTATATATATATATATATATATACACACACAAATAATTATAAACTAGTGACTTAAATGCATTTGTAAAATTATAAGTTGTTTTGTTTGCAGTGGTACGCTAGTTTACATAAGTGCCTGAGAAATATGAAGGAGCTGTGACATTCTCTGTGCTTTATGTTTAAAATAAGACCAATAAATTGCAGTGTCACAGCAGAAAATAAAGTAATTGATATTCATTGCAATTGATATTATAAATTTGATGTACATAAAATAAAAGTTTCAAAGAGAATAATTCATTCATACTGTTATTTTTTTTAAAATATAGCACAAGCTGTAAAATGTGACACATTTCAAACACAACAGAAACACAATGCATTTACATATTTAAAAGGTGCACTCTAAGTACTATAACCACTATGGGATGCTACAATGGTATTGGTTCCATAAGATAAGGAGAGCAATGATGGTACCTGTAATGGTTAATAAAATAGATTTAGAAAGCAAACTTTCAATACCACAAGGAGCCTAAGTTGTCTTAAAGGGTTGCTACCGAGAGAGAAAATGTTGTTTATAACTGCCATGGTCATCCATCATAGTGGTGATATCACCAAGATTAAGTTTTTTTTTTTTTGCATGACGATCTGCTACCGAGACGGTGAACAATGCTGAGGCCATATGACAATTTGGTGGAGATCAAGTAACAGATCTGACAGTTTCCCCTTTTCTTATATTACATCACTTTCTCCTTTTTTATAACTGTATTGTCCACACTTCTATTTTTTATTCCCACCTTCTCTTGAGATATTTCACCCTTCTTTCCTTTCTCACCTCCATACTCCTCCATATCATAACTACCGTTATATACGAGTTTTCCTTCTCTATTTTTAGTTTCACCTTCCCTTTGCCTTTCTCACATCCATCCTCTATATCAGTTCCATTTTCACAGTCCCCTTTATTCCTCCCACATCCTTCCCCTTGTCCCTCACTATATCAGTTCCTAATTCCACACCATCTCTTATGACATCTCTCTGCCACATGAGTAGAAAAGCATCCTATTTTGTATCAGTGTGCAATCTTCCCTCATCGGTATTGACTATTCCACTGAAGGTCTCTCGAAATTTCTCTTTCCAAATTGGTATTCTCTCGTGTCTGCTTCAGCACCTGTAAAGGTGCCATCTCAGTCACCGTGCACAGAAACATCATCAACAATGACTAACATTTACTGACTTTGCAGCTGAAAACTTATTTATTATCCCCAAATGTCCCCTTACCATGCTGACAAAGCTTATCCCCAACATCACTCCTTTTAGTTTCCTTGTACTTATAAGTAATTATAGGTATTGTACACATTGTTCCCATGACATGCACCCCTGTGTTTTCCCCCATTTCTGTTAATAATATTGCTAATGATAAGGGTAAATACAGGAGTCTCTTAAAACAAAGTACATGTAAAAATGCACAAGAATAACAGCAACATGCTTGAGTGTTATTAAGTGCCATGGAGATATCTTGAGTTAAGGACCACTTTTAAAGCATGTGGAATTCTCTTAACAAACATACCTGTTCTTAATGGAATATAAGAGTGTAAAATAAAGTTATGAAATCCATACTTCCAGGGTCTTGCACTTTAATACACACTATTTTCTAGCAGCAGTGACTCATTAGAAGGAATATAAAACAAGTAAACAAAACACTTGTTTAACACCATTTAGTTAGTTTACGTAATATCAAACTTTTATTCATTATTCAGTTTGTCTAATCTGATTGTTTTTAATTTAATTGTACTTCCCTCATTGGTAACATTTCTTTCTTTTCCTGTCACCAAAATAAACTTGCTAGCTCCCTGTGGGAGCTCCCATAATTAAATGGATATTCAACAAGTGTTCCCAGAGTAAGAGTGAACACTTCACTTTCCAAAATCTGCCATATTCTTAACTCATCCTGAAGCAAGATTTTTCCTAGAATTTCATTGATGTATTTAATGTGTATTTGTCAGCCTGGAATTGTTGTAAGGAAATTAAAATTTAAGGAAAACTATTTGCCAAGCTTATTTTTCAGCCTAAATGTTCTATTCCCTTTACTTCCGAACAACCCAGGTTATTGAACAAATCTTCCAATATTTAAACTGCCTCCTCCTCCACTAGCTTGCACATTAAAAATGTATAGTAACCATTCTGTGCTCCAGATTTCTGTCTGGCATGTGACAATATTACAAGTGTGTAATTAGAAATTACTAGGGACAATGAGCCAATGTGCAGGTACAGCAAACTATGGATTTATTTCTTCATAACACTGGATAACATAGGACAGTCAGATGTACAGCAGAGGTTTTAAACCTTTATTTAACAGGGACACAAAACACTTACAAGGCCTAGCTTGGCAATTTATTCTTTAATAGTAAATCACAATTCAATAGGTAAAACAAATTGACTACAGTAACCAATGTAAACTATTGTGGACAAACTAAAACAGCATAGGGACCAATTCTGCATCCTGACTCACTGGGTAGGACGTGCTGATCTAGCCTACTTGGTGCTTCTTTTAGAATACAGAGAAAACAAAGTAGAATTAACAAAGGAACTGCAAAATAAACTTCAACTCTGCTCCGATTCTAACTAAGCAGCTTTGGCCTAAAATATGTAATTCTTGTTTCAAGTCTAGGCAATTTCCAATTTAGTGAATAACCCCCTAGAGATAAACCTTAATAAACAAATCTAGAGCTGAATATTATTGTATAGAACAAGAGGTGCTTCCTGGCCTTTTCACAGAGTTTGAATAAGTAAAATGACGCTGGACGCTCTCACGCTTTGCATGATGACGTCCAGTGTCTTTTAAAACTCCACAGGAAAGCATTGAGTCAATGCTTTCCTATGGGGAAGGCCTAATGTGTGTGCTGCGCTTGCCGTGCATGCGCATTAAGTACTCCCCATAGGCTGACTTTGATGAAGTGGGAGCCAACCTAGTGTTAAGAGACATTGGTGCTGAAATCATGTAAATGAAAAAGGAATATTGACTATTTACTTGCTGCTGGGGGGGAAGGGGGAGGGATACATCATTGTTTTCCTAACACTTAAAGGGAAACTACAGTGCCAGCAAAACAAAGTTGTTTTCCTGGCACTTTAGCTTCCTATATTCCCCCCCCCCCCCTCACCGTGATGCAGAAGGAGTTAAAATCCCCCTCTGTCATTTACCTGAGCCCAGCATCAATGTCCCTCGCCGCTGGCTCGGACTCAGCCTCTGCTCCTTCCTCACCAACATCAGCTGGCGTGGAGAACTAATGCGCATGCACGCCAATGGCTGAGTTCACATTAGAGCAGCCCCATAGGAAAGCATTCTACAATGCTTTCTTGTAGGGTTTCAGGTGATGCATAGCAAGAGAATGTCCAGCATAACGACCCGGAAGTCCCTCTAGTGGCTTTCTGGTAGACAACCACTAGAGGTTTAGTTTACCTCGGATAGTAATTATTGCAGTTTCTCAATAATTACAATAATTACTATTGCAGGGTTAAGGGACCTGGGAATATGCACTCAGACCACTTCTATGAGCTGAAGTGGCCTTGATGCCTATAGTGTACCTATAGTTTTCCTTTAACCTGCCTGATAAAAACAAGCCATTTTTCAGCTTCTGCAGATCCAGGGCATTGGTAGCAAACGTTGTAGATAAGCATCTTTATACAAACTAAAAAAGACCTAATACTTAACAGGTCCACTGGCCCATCTTAATGAGAGATCTTAGAGAGACCTACAGCTGAAGCTCAGTGAACAGACCTAGTGCTATATATTAATAACCAGACCTACAAATACACACCAGGTAATTCATTGCCACTAAGAAGCCACTTAATCCCGAAGTGACCCTGGATATATGCATGAATAAATGTATAACAATATACACAATTCATGCTTCTTCTTGTGTTCAGCAAACCAAAAAAATCCTCAGAGTGAATATAAAACAATAGGATGAAAATTATGTAAGAAACAAAACATGAAGAAAATCAATATATATCAATTATTGGGATAACATCATCAGGATTATTCACCAGACTGAATAATAGCAAACTGAAATCTGAACAGGGAAACAGTCATAGCTTATTTGGAGAAATTATCAAACTCGGCTATAGCTTGGCTGTTTTAAAAAAAAAAAAAAAATATGTATCATATTTTATTGTTTTTCAAACAAAATAATACAATGCAAGGATTTAACATGTCCAGATATGACCAGAATGTTCAGAAGTTAGTGAAAAAACTCTGCTTGTGTGCTTTCATTTTTTAAAATAATTTCTATTTACAATTTACCGTTTGTAACTAAAGCTGATTTGGAATATTTTTCAAAATCAGAAATTTTTCCTGCCTGCTGCTGGTTTAGTGTTCTAACGCTGTTGCATTCTCCTATCCTGATCTAGACTTGTTTATCTGTTATTTTGACTTTTGTATTTATTCAGAGTTCCTGGTTTTTCTTCTCAAGTGAGGATTCTCAGCATTGAGAATTCAAAATAAATTTTAAATTTTAGGCCAAAATAGATGGGCTGGAATGTTTTCCAATCCCCCGTTTTAACTTAAAATGTGAAATTGACCTTATATTTTTTTTAAAAAGTATTTAGCATGGAAAAAATTAAACCTGAAAGTTGGTATGGAGAAACCTATTAATGGAAAACATAGGAAGAATTAAAAAGGCTAATGTGAATTGGAGGTAATAGTTGGGTAGTGCGAACTGCAAGACAGCAATCACTATTATTCAAATCTATTAAAATGCTTTGCTTGATGAAGAAAAGGGGCCAAAAAAAGATAAGAAAAAACAAAAAAAGCAAAATGAACAGTTACGTAAGACAACATAAAGCTGCAATAATGTTCCAAATATTCTAGCACGGGCTTTATCAGCAAGTAACCCAATACAGGATTATGTACGTTTCTGCAATCTGTTCCATTAGTTGTCTTCGCAATATGGGTTTTGCCATTTTGACTTTTAAGGAAGACCTTAGACCTATCCTGGTTATACACCAACGGGTAAGTTGATGGGATTTCAAAGTGAATTTCAAATTTAAATAGCTGATTTAGAGATTTTGTTTAAATTTTGCTATATTGGCCTAAAACGTGAAAATCAATTCAAATTCACTTTGAAGTTCATATAATTTGCACCTTAATAATTAACCCTAATACGAAAAGTTAGCACTCACCAGGCAGTTAGCATTAAACCACATAACTAGCTGTCTGAGTTTTCTATTCAAACAGGAGAGGTACCTGCTTGATCCTGTTACCTGGCAAATTTCTCAGGCTGGAAGGTGGGAGATTTAAAATATATATATATATATGTGCCTTGCATTTCAATGATCGGTTTCTTTATATATTTATGTATACATTGATTTCATGGGATGACTATACTGAGAACACTATTACATATAACCAAATAATTTGTTGCACGTGTGTATTGTACAATGACACCTTTAATAATATCACTTGCCTCTTAACAAATATACATATATTTATATATGGGTGTAATGATGTAATAGAACACACACACACACACACATATAACAACCCTAGGTGCAATTGCTTGTATTTAAAAGGTTAAAATTAATATATTTTTTTAAATTCTTGCTAGAGAGCTGTGGCTTCCATGCTCTTGGTGCATGCTGCAGATAATTTGCTGTATGTTGATATAACAGAATGTTAGCACAGACAGCAAGATTCCATTACTCCCAATGATTCTATGGAGCTCCTAGCAGGGGATGTGAATTGATGATCACACTAGCAGAAACCTGGCTGTACACATTTCCCCATACACATATTTACATTCACACCCATCATTAAACCCTCGGCCAGTGAATGGAAGAAACACTAACCTAGAACCACAGACACCACGGTGGCGATCAGCAGCCAGTTGTCTTTGAATACCCGTTTGCAGTCGCATCCTTTCTTCATTTTCTTCCCCATATTGCAGGGCTGACGGTGCGGGCTGTGGCTGCGGTGTGGGCGGGTGGCTGAGGATGGCTCCCGGAGAGGCAGATCTGGCAGGCGGCTCTGTGTTACTGGAGACAATAGGAAGACAATGCTGGAGTAAGGGCGGTAGGAGCAACGTGTGCCCGGCTGCAGACAGGAGACACAGTGGGCAGTCTAATGCATTCCCTGTCAGTGTGTCTGCCTGTCTCTCCTAATGCGGCAGCCAGCACTGATCTGTCTGTCTGTGATGCAGTGTGTAGGGATGGATGGTGACTGCCCCCTGCCCTCTCACAGGCTGCTGGCAATGTTACCCCATTACAACCCCCCTGCCATGGCCGGTATGTACCTGACTCACCTTTGCTGCTGGTATCCCTTGCTTTCCCTGTAAGGCACTGCTGTCAGCCTGTCTCCTGCCTCTCTGCCGCCTCCCTGGCTGCTGTGCCAGCCCTCCCCATCATTCATACTCCTGATAACAGGGGACTATGCCCTGTCCCGCCTCACTGTTTACTCTGATAGTGCTGGGACTCACCCTGGCATTCATTATCTCACTCATCTCTCATTTAGTTTCCTCATGCTGGTATCTCATTTACAGAGGATCTGTCACTATTTAATCCAGAGTCCCCGTTTTTTTTACACATCAGGTTTGCCTGAATGAGTTTGTTGGTCACTGTGATCATATATAATAGAGTCAAACATTCCTGAATCAGAGAACTATCCAAACATTAAGCATCATTATCAGACAGGAATATGCCTGGCTTAGAGTCATGGGAGTTAAATAATGCTCCCTGGCTTTGCTAGCTCCCTAAAATGTTCATGTGGGAGGTATCCCTCCCCCTTATGATACATAATATTTCAGTAATTATATGTAATATATTATTGTAATTATGTGAGATCTAACATAGAAAGTACTTACTCTTACCCAGTCTAACAAAGATCTACCTCTCTGAATGTTTGTTTTGTCAGAAACTTTTCTAAAATTCCTTGGGGGACCTGTGGCCAGGCTGTGGTCTTGGGTAGCATAATATACCTGTCTGATGGTTTCTCTCTGATATTTAATATTTATGGGCTGTATATATATACTGGTGGGATGCCATATTGCCAAACACATTTAACCAGTATTGTACTGATGTGATTCATTTATAGCAAATAAAATCAAAATTGTTACATAGCAGGGTTATTCAACAACAAACAAAGCAGTTTGTCAGTATTTAAATTTTTAATTTGGCCCAAAAAATTAAATACACCTTGAATTGCTGACAATTTGCAGTTTAATAAATATCAATCAAAATGTTTACAAAATTATTTGTGTGTGCCAAAGTGAAACTGTGCTATAGAATTATATTAAAAAAGCTCACTCAAGTTGCGGAGCATGAATGCCAAAGCATACCGTCACACAAGTCTAGAGCTCCAGGCGTTATGCAGCAGAAATACACATTTGTACAGCTCTTAATCTCACTGGCTAGACTTGGGGGACCAAGACAACATGGGGCAAAATATATATAAAAAAAAAAATTAAGCAAACCCAACTTTGGGATGAATACAGGTGACCTGTGGAGGCAGGCACATGGCAAAAGTGGGCACAAGATGGCCACACTCTTTGGAGTGTCTCCAAATAGTGCGTCCATCTTGGGCCCACTTGCGCCATGGTCCTTCATAGAGACACTAAGCACCTAATTCAAGACCTTTAAGGTTTGGCTGCACTTCTGCAGGAATTGGGTCTCCAATGGGTTTCTCTTACCCAGAGTGGGCCAAATAAGGCACTTAAACCATCATATGCTTGGGACCCAGCAAGGATCACCCCGTTTTTACCCCCTGGTGGGGCTGCAACCTGTATACTAATGGGAACCGCCGTAGCACTCCTGTGTTTTATTTTACAATTTAATGTAACCGTAATTTTTAGTATTCCGTTCAGTTTCTTCAGTTCAGTTCATTTCGGTTACCTTTATTCCTCACAGACATATTGGTATTAAAGCCAAATGACCCCGCTTTCCTGCCGCCACAAGGTACTGCATACCTGTAGTAAGTCCACATCTAGAGGGAAGTTAATGTCTATTTTAAATACGTAGCTTAAACAGTTTCTAGGTAATAATCTACTTTAGGCCTACCAATTCTATTTCCTAGAAACATAGAATTACTATTTTGCTCTGATTTCTGATATAGAGTATAGCCCCCTTTCACTTGACCCACCTTATGCCACTTGAGCTTAGGCCCCAACTACACATTGGCACATAGCATAGGTGTCGCACGTTACTACACAGTTCAGTCCACTATAGTATAGGTTGTTTAACCAGTTTAAAATGTCAATCCAGGGATTGTTCTTTTTATCTGATTTCTACCTTTGTATTGTATGTGCATATTCTGTAATTATGGCACCGTTGATGTATATGGTTCCACATGTATTTGGATTAATACAAAAATAAAGAATTTAAAAAAAAGTCACTCAAACAGGCTAAAACGGTTTGTTAGCCAGACAGTTAAAAGCAAATTGCAAAATGTAGGTCAAAATAGCTCAAAATCACTCTGTGTATAGACAACTCTTAGTCGGGCCGGCCCAAGTGTCTTCATGTCAGCAGGTAGACTCACAGTGGCTAGGAACCCTGAAAATATCTGGGTCCAATTTATGTATAAATATAGATTTTTTTTTTCTTTACTGCATCTACTCTTTTTCCTTTCTATTGGTCTTCTATTGGTCTACTTCCTATCACTATCAGTATTTAGTGGCTGTCCTTTAACCATCAAAAATAGTTTTCCATTAAGCATCTTTTTTTTTTTTTCAATCAAATGGCATGAAAATACACCAGTTGCACAATATTATATTGTCCCGAAATGATATCATGGATAAAATTTGTCCCAACTGAAATGCCACATAGATGAATCACCCAAAACGAATCACCCAAAACGAATGTATGTTCAAAACAATTCAGTTTGGACAATCCAATTTTTTTCACCGTGCACAAGTCTATTTAATATGAGGTCTAGAGCTGTTTGTTTGTTTTTTTATACAGAAGAGAAAAAGCAATAGCGCACAGCAAGCCAGCTTGGCAACATGGTCGACATACAGGATTAGGTACACAATACTCTGAGCAAGAAATACATCTCTTTTTTTTTTTAATTACTGGATATTACAAGCTAGGTACCAGGCTAAGGATGTTCGTCTAGGTCAACAACATAACATAGTGTTACCAAAGGAGAGGCTTTCTAGACTGAAGTAAATAAACTAAATAAGTACTAGCAGGCAGAGTATACACATCCTAGATGTTGTGAGGCACAGGGATTAGTAGTGATAAGCATACCAAAGCATAAGAAAATTGTAAGTAGTGAGGGTGCAGCAATGGTTATTCTAAGATGCGATGCAGGCTTAAACCACTGGGGCCCTTTAGGGTGATAGGGGGCCTTTGAGCTAGCATACATGCCTTAATAGCCTTATTAGTGAGCTTAGTCAGAGGGCATTATAGTGGCATAATAGCGTCATATTGGTAACAGAAGAAAATAAGATAAGAGGGCAACATGCCTAAATAAACCAAAACATTTATAGTAAATTATGTTCGCCGTTGAGTCTGGGTCCCAATCTTTTGGTGAAAAGTCTTTCCGGGGTGCCTTGGCTGTTAGCGTATTCCCTGGAGTGTGAGTCCCTTGAGGCCCTGTGATAGTCCATGCCATGGCAGGAATGGTGTCTCCGCCCTCACTTCACCCTTCTAGTATCCCAGTCTGTTAGGGCTATGGATAAATTTACACTACCATGGTGTGGGACCGCGGGACCTCTTCAACTTGTGTCTTCGGCCCAAGGCCTTGGTGGGAGCCCTTGCCTGTAATCCACTGATCACTTCATCAGGATCGTGGGCCCGTGGGGTTCCCAGTTCCCGGTGGGACCTCTGGGAGTATGGAGGGTGGGGGATTACCTCCAGTAGAGCACCCGGCTTGGAAGAAGAGCAGGCAAAAAGTCCAGCCTCACCACCCCCTTGTGCTGCATGGGATGTGGGTAGGTGCGAGCCATGTTGCTGGCAAACTTCAGGCTGTGTTGAGGAAATGGTTCCTAGCATATGATTGGAAGGCTGTGAGGTGGCGGGAGGTGATAGCACCTGTGATCGGTCAGCCAGACGTAGCCAAAACCTCTGGCATACAGTCTCAAATCTGTTATTGAAAGAGTCCAGCCACTCTTTATCCCCCTGGCTCAGTCGAAAGTGCAGCGTGTCATGGCCGGTGGCTCTTTTGGTTTCATCTCGTGGGCCTCATGTAAGCGCACGGTGTGCTGTTCGGGGGCCTGTGAGCCCCAGTGGGGACTGGGATAACCGCTGCCAGTCCAGAGGGGGGGAGGAGATCAGGTTTTGTGGCAGGTCCCACCTCGTGCTGCTCCGCAGGGTCCGGGCGATGCTGGGCTGCAGCGGGATCTCCGCCAAGAATAGCCTCACGAGGGTCGCTCTGGTGGTTAGAGCCGCTCTTGGGTCTGCCGTGGGTAAGGTGCAGCTGAGTGCTGAGATTTTTGCAGGCTAGCTGCCTATGATACAGGCTTATTTATGGAGTCTTTGTGGAGCTCTCACGATGTGCCGCCATGATGCACAGGCCCCGTCTAGAGCTATTTTTTTTTTTATCATTCTGATAACTGTTACAGTATTTTTAAATGTATTGGAACCGAGAGATAATGATTGCTTTGACAAAGATAATGGCTCATCAGCAGATATTTACATGCTAATTTTATTGGATTTCCCCTATTGTTTCTGATTTAATTTACTAATTGGAAATGCATGTTTTTTCTGTTTATATTTAGAATCCAGATCAGATTCCAGATGGGTTAAAGGACCACTATAGTGCCAGGAAAACATACTCGTTTTCCTGGCACTATAGTGCCCTGAGGGTTCCCCCACCCGCCGGGCTCTGGGGTAAGGAAGGGGTTAAACTTACCTCTTTCTCCAGCGCCGGGCGGGGAGCTCTCCTCCTCCTCGTCGGCTGAATGCGCATGCGCGGCAAGAGCAGCGCACGCATTCAGCCAGTTTCATAGGAAAGCATTCACACTCACAGTGAGAAGCACGCAAGCGCCTCTAGTGGCTGTCAAGAGACAGCCGCTAGAGGCTGGATTAACCCATTTATAAACATAGCAGTTTCTATGAAACTGCTATGTTTATAGAAAAAAGGATTAACCCTAGCTGGACCTGGCACCCAGACTTCTTCATTAAGTTAAAGTGGTCTGGGTGCCTATAGTGGTCCTTTAAGCAACCCTCCATTCCAGGTGCCCCTTTGGAAGTGACCACAACTCTGAAAATTGTCTAAGCAGTAAGTATTGCATTTGGCATGGTCATCTCCCATGTTACAATTAGTGTACGACCCACCGATATTGGGGTACTCTGTCTCAGTGGTGGGATTAACACGATATAGCTATAAGGTGGGATCCAATAATCATCATCATTTGCTAAGAAAGGTGTTTTTAGGTAGCCTTGTAAATTTAAAGCCGGGCAGGAGGGGCTATTTATAACTTTTCTTTTTATTAGGTTCCTGT